GGCCCGTTCACTATCTTGGCTGTGCTTTCCCCCATCACGTTTAAACTCCAATTACCGCCGCAATGGAAGATCCACCCTACGTTCCACGCTTCGCAACTATCCTCCTATCGCGAAAATGACGTACACAGCCCGAACTTCCTGGAACCACCACCTGATGTTCTCGAAGAAGAAGAAGAATATGAAATAGAAGCAATCCTTGCACATAAAGGAAATGGAAATCGCCGTCGATATCTCATATCTTGGAAAGGGTATTCTTCCGCCAGCAACGAGTGGATCCCCGAAAAGAACCTGGAGAATGCCGAGGAGACCCTTAGAGCCTATAAGACCAGAAACGCGCTTTGAGATTACTCAGTACCTCGACGTCGTCGTTCTCACTCAGATACAAAACTTACAACCAACATGCCCTTCCCCACGTCCACCTACACGCTGCCATACCACTCCACCTTTGATGCCACCCCCCTTGACTCCAACGACGAACGATACGAAACCTTCATCACCCAAGCCGAAGATCTCACCCTCATTGAGGCTGCACTCCTCTGCCCCCAGCATGCCATTGAGCTCACTAGAGTCCTCTTTGGAAGGAACACCCATTCTATCAACCTCCTCATTAACATCATCAGAGCCACTGAGATCATCGAACGAGTCTGTCGCCTCGTGGAAGACAACACGGTTCGCCACAGCCTCATGCATATGCAAAGGCGCATATGCAACTTTGCTTTGTGTCTTATTCCTGAGGAAGTTAAAGACGATATTAGAACAGTCATCCACATCGTCGCAGAACAAACCGCAGGGGTTGCTCGCCTGCCTTCTCCTACGAACCCCGCAACCGCAGACGGAGTCCCTCCTCCCTCTTATCAAGACGCCGTACCTACTCTTCCCTCTAACATTCCTAATGAGCTATTGGCTGCAGTCAATAATCTTGCGCAGACAACAGAAGCCATAATGGCGTCTCTCAGAGAAGAGAACCCCCAAGCAATCCCTATCCCTGTCCCCACCATAGAAACCATTGAACATCCTCCCAATCTCTATACCGCATTTTCAGCCACCCACGAAGAAATCGCTGCTGACCCAAACCATCAGTACCTGTCGCACTACGAGGTGCAAGACCTAGCCAACGCACTGGCTACACTCCATATCCATCCCCCGCTCGTTATCCCAAGCTCACTATCTTCGCACACCTTTACGGATGGGATCGTACCGATACAGGCGCTGGGAAGAACCCAACCTGCCACTCCTACTGAGCTAATCGCGGAGGCAGAACGACAAGATGTTGCCACCCACCATCCAATACGACGAACCACTCCATCTAGAAAGAGAGTACGAGGCCAGCGCTTCCGTACCGATAAGGGAAAGAAACGCGCTACTAGCGCAGACGAAGCTCTTAGCCCTAAACCGGGCCCATCACCCTTACGTGCGACTTCCTCTAACCCCAACGAAAATCGCGTCTGCAGGTACTGCAAAACGCTCGGGCATAGGCAAGTTCATTGTCCCGACTACTACTGTCGCGTCTGTCGAGAATTGTCTCCAGGCCATCTCTCATTCTACTGCCCGCACTACGCTGGGGGATCTCCCACCTCCTTAACCTGGAAAGACGACAGATTTTACCAAACACTCGCGCTCTGGGAAAACGACTTAGATGACGCATACGCTGCCCAATGCAGAGAAGAAGAAGAGCTCTATGAGCTAGAGCGCATGAAGTCCGGACCGGACGAGGGTCCAGACGCCTTGGATTACTCGGACGATCCCATTTATGACGCTAACCAGGATGATTGAATCCGGTGCTTCAACCCTAGTAGGGGGGTAATGTTACAATCACCTTTGTCTTCTTAACCGTCCGTCACTATGTACTACTATTTCCTCTTTCACTTTGACTTCCCTTTCTTGGTGTTACTTCCGCATTCGACTCCTGTACTATTATCTCACCATAGCCTTGGTCCGTGCACGTATGGTTCCCTATTTAAGCACATGTACTTTACCTAGAAACTTCACTTGAATCTTACTAGGTTTTACCCAGAACTTCCTTCGCTTAAGACCACCAATCTTAAGTCGTCTGAACCGATCTCTTAGTGGAAGCACTCCTTCTACTAAGTCTGCGAACCTCTTCTTATCTGAAGAGCCTTACGAATCTCAGCAACACGAACGCTCTGTTGAGCCTTTGCTGTTAGAACTATCCTAGTTTGTAACATTTCCAATGATAATCTGAAAATCATCAGATGCTCATTTTGGACCTCGCCGCGGCCGAGTCAGCCGCGGCGGCTTGTTAACAATTACCTTTGGTCATGGTGACTACCAGTAGCTCACTGCCGCAAATTCCAGTTACTGTACGAGTACTGAGAGCTGTCACAAGTGGTCTCATGGTTACTACCAAGTGCGTACTATCTTCTTACTAAGTTCCTGCCAACTTCGATGCAGTTCTGATCCAACATCGACCAACACTTTTCTCAGAACACGAAGTTCAAGCTGGTTTTTCTGCTCGCATCTCTGAATTATTCTTATAGCTTACAGATTCAAATTTTCATCACAGGTTTTTGCGAGTTTCACAGCGTTGTCAACGCTTCAAGCTCGCTCCATGTGGCTTCCTCATCCAGTTTTCTTCCGGCGATAATGCCAAACTGTACTACTTGGCCAAGAAGGAAGCAGAAGCACATGGATGAAGGCCCGAGTGGGGCAAGCCTAAGAGATAGCCATGCGTACTATTCCTGGTCACGGATTCACGGTATGCTTTAGCCTCTGTAAATAAACTAATAATTACGAGGATATTTTATTCAAGGTCGCGCCTTCTACAACTATTTCCGATTCTTTACGTAGCTGCTTGCGCAATTTGCGCCCTATTTCACGCTGTGTGCATTCTGCGTTTTACATCACTTTCTTCAGAACGTGGATGGTTTTGTCGATATCTAATTTTGACCTCAACTCACACCATCGCAAAGGCAACACTTACTAGTATCCAACATTCATACCTACCGCCATAGTCACAGTTGCTCGCCCTGACGATCTTACAGTCCTTTTAAAATTTTCCCAAAGGCCCCAAACCATTACTAAAAGCGCTATGAAACTAGAAGTTTTCACCAAACCACAGGCGACATGATGTATAGGCAATGCAGCAGCTTCGGGCCAGACAATATAGGAAAGTAGGTTATATTGATAAAGTGACAGGCTCTTGAATGAGGTTGAGATTATGTCTATAGCTGATAAAAATTCAAACTTTGCCGTTTGTTGGCCTCTGAAAAACTCACCAGATTGAGGAAGAACGAGAACAGTCCACAAAGTCGAAAGGACTGCGCCAAAATCCCATGCGTGTTGCGATGGCGGGGAGTCACAACTTTGTAGTTGACTTTGATGAGATCCTACATGTGTTGAACAGTGCCAAAGCTACTTCGCATGACAAGGGAATAGATGGCATGAAATAACATCTTGATCTATGCGAAATTTGAGAGCAGACCACAACGTCGAAAGGAGCGCACCAAAATCCCATGCGTGTTGCGATGGCGGGGAGTCACGACTTTGTGGTTGACTTTGATGAGATCCTACACGTGTTGAACAGTGCCAAAGCTACTTCGCACGACAAGGGCATAGATGGCATGGAATAACATCTTGATCTATGCGAAATTTGAGAACAGACCACAACATCGAAAGGAGCGCGCCGATATCCCATGCGTGTTGTGATGGCGCGGAGTCACGACTTTGTGGTTGACTTTGATGAGATCCTACACGTGTTGAACAATGCCAAAGCTACGTGTCACGAGAATGTCTTAAATGAGGTCACAATTGAAAAAATACATAAGGCAAAACGACAATGCTGAAAATAATGGGCACCGGTATACTAACACCCCTTATCTGCTACGATGGAGGAAAATTATAACTTTGTTGTGGGACGCTTATATTACTCTGAACGTACAGGCATTGATGGCTATATATTTACAACTAAAAGTTCTCGCAGAATATATAATATTATTTAGTAGAAGCAGAATTGTGTCCTTCTGTAGTTCCCACGGCTACATTATCAAGGAATCATCCGTTCACTGATGACAAGGACTAGTTGAAGCGTCGTTAGGGTCCCATCATCGCTTGACTCGGGCTGCAAAAATATGTTTATCTTATGTTCTCAGGAATCCCCATCGATTCCACGCTACTTGCTCTAGGTCTTGATAATTTAGATGATTTGGGTGAGTGATTTACGTTTGTTGTGAATGGTTTTACATATATTCAAACACGTCCTAGCAAAATGATCACAAACTCATCCGAAAAGACGCCCACGACGTTATACACCAGATCCAAGACAAGTGTATTGAGAGTGATCTAGCATCAGTGAATTGATGAGTCCGTGACATTGTAGTCACGAAACATGTAGACAGATATAATTATGCTTTTCCAAAATATATCTATTTATTCGATCACAAAATTTAGTTTGTCATACATACCCCCCCAATCTAAACTTGCAAGAGGTATCAATGACAGGATGGAAGTATAGCAACATCACAGTATACGTGGTACGGTAGCGTAGTGGCCCCGTATTGAGAGCTCATTCTCACTTTGTCGGGTGTATGGTGTCAGTCCTATGGCAATATAAGGCATTATAATGGAAAGTTGGTTTATAATGACCGCAAAACCTGGCAGGTCATGTGACTTAGAACACAATCTGGAGGTTACGGCTATGTCACAGCATGCAAGCGACGATAGTGCATCGGCCTCCAACCGCGAAGTTCTTCTCACTTTTTCATGTGTATAGTATCAGTGCAATGGCAATACAAGGCATTATAATGGAAAGTTGGTTGGCAATGACCGCAGAATCTGACGGATCCATCGATTATGTAAGTCCTCGCTCCTTCAAGCCCACTGCCTCAACTTGCGTTTACTATTCACCCATGGTGGCTCGCCAATTTATTGCTGCATGGAAGATAGGTACTGACTCTACGTTACCCACCCATTGAGCCGTGGTTTTTTACAATCTCTGGAGACCACGCATTGTATCTTGTAGCGTCTTGTCACGCTTCGGTAGCCGTTGCATTCTATTTTAACTCCCACTCTGGCGCGTGATTTTTTAACATTACTTCCCCCAGAACTTGCATCCCATGTTCTGAGTTTCCTTCCTTATTCTACCGTAGTTCGTGCCTCCAGAGTATCCAAAGCTTGGCGCGTCATTATCGACTCTGATCCTGTACTTTGGTCAGATCTCCGCAGAACGGGTAAGGGAGAATGCCGTAATAAAGTAAGGAGGAAATAAGATTGTAACGGTTGCGGAAGACTTATAAAATGTGATAAAAGAGAGGGAAGTGTAAGAAGGGTCATTAGGGCAAGATCTGGTTGTAGTGGTGCTTGATGTTGTGGAGAAGAGGCGCCACTAGGAGGTGCAGAAGGCCATATAGGCTGTGGTGGTGGTGACCCATGAGGAGATGGTAATGGAGATGGAGGTGCGGCTGCATTCAAAGTAGTAATCGGTGGAAGATGTGTCGCCCTTGCCTTCTTTCGAGGAGGCATATGTGTTTTGCGCTCAGTCGTAGGCTCTACGCCCTCCATCATAGTGTCAGTGCCGTGTGACCTTTTTCTGCCATAGCGCTCAACCGCCTCCACCAGCCCAACAACCTTGCTTGAACTGCCGGTTGAGTCGGGTCTTACCATTGTCCAGCCCTTCCTCCTCGTCCAGATCTCCTTCGCCGTCTGTCCCGTCGCGGAATGTCGCACGAGAGCCATTAGGAAACACAAGGTGGAATCTCTTGATGGATGAAGGAAACTTAGCATGGAGCAAAGGATATTCTCTAGGGTCCTTTGGCTCAGCCGGAGGTGGCAGGGGTGGTAGTTGTATCGGCGCGTAAGTGGTCGTGGTCGTGACTACCCTGGTCAACAAGTATATGCGTCAACGACGGCTCAGATAAGCTAGAATAATGAGTATAACATACATTGTAGTGTTGACCAACGGTGCGAGGGCCAGCGACGGGCGTTAAGCCCCTTCAGTAACATTTTCCAACTTAGTCAAACAGCCAAAGGTTAAGATTCTGCCCAGTTAAGCGAGCCATCCAAGGTGGGCCCATGGGCAAGGTGGGAGCAGGTGGGCCCACAGTACAGAAATTACCCATACTGGCGGGTGGGCTGAGGTGTGATATCCATAGTGATGAGCGGGCCCAAATTGTGTGACCGGGCAGGCCTGCATGCTTGAGGGTGAGAATGGGCCCAGCGGATGTGCGAAAATTGTGACGGATGGGCTCAGCTGGCATGTATGAGTGCTTATGGGTGAGCCAGCTTGTAGGCATACCTGGAAAAAGGACAACGGATGGGCCCAAAATGTGCGACCGGATGGGCCTGCATGCTCCAGGATAGGCCCAGCGGATCTGCATTTGATATTGAAAATCGTGACGGATGGGCCCAAAATGTGCGACCGGGTGGGCCTGCATGCTCCAGGATAGGCCCAGCGGATCTGCATATGCTATTGAAAATCGTGACGGATGGGCCCAGCGCATATTTGGTCTCAGAAAAAGGCAAATGGGCCCAGCGCATATGCAGGTGGTCTCGGAAACACGGATGGACCCAACTCCCGAGTGTATTTGGACTCGGAAAAAGAGATGGATGGGCCCAGTCCCACTGTATTTGGACCCGGAAAAGGAGACGGATGGGCCCAGTCCCGCTGTATTTGGACCCGGAAAAGGAGACGGATGGGCCCAGTCCTGCTGTATTTGGGCTCAGAAAAGGTTACGAATGGGCCCGCCCCCCATGGATTTGGGCGGAAAATGGGCACAGAAACGCCACAGGTGAGAAGTGGATTAAGGCTTGTTGTGGTCGCAGAAGCAGGTGCGAATTCAATGTACGGATTGGCCGAGGGAATACTAATATGAAGGGGCCGAACTGGCCCAGCAAATACAAATTCAGTGCACGGATCAGTCCAGCGCGCAGAAGTATCCGGCCTAACAGGATGTTTGAACCTAGTATATACAAACTCAATATGTAGATCGGCCCGGTGCATACTTATCCGGGCGGGCCCATTATGCCCATTAAACAAGTACCGGAAGAGCACAGCTGGTTATTCTAGACACAGTGCATATAAATTCGGCCCACAGCGTATTTCGGTATGCAGATAGGCCCGGTCAGAAGGTTTAAGAGCCCAACTGGTTATTCTGGGCAGAGTACAAATTCAGTGTGCGGATCAGGTAGCTCCAGTCCAAATATACCTGATCTTGGGCGAACTCCTGGACGGCTCAAGCTAGATGATGTGCTACCCAATCCATATTACACGGCGGCAGGGGTAACGAAAAAGCCCAGCTAGTCGTTTTGAGCCCAATTGTACATTTGGGCTAGGAAATGTTGACAAATGCGCCCAGTGAATAGCGTTTCAGGCAAGCAAGCATGCATTGCATTCGGGGGCTAAGGAATGGTTGAGCCGGAACACAAATACGCTGTTTTGGACTCCAAGCAGTCGCAACATACCTCGGTAGTTCAAAATCTCGGAGATAATGCAATCAAGCACCAGTGGTCCCGGACGTTGACGGCGACGTGGGCTTTCGGAAGACGAACTCACTCCTGACTATGTTTGTTAAAACAAACATTATCGACACTGTATCGGTACTAAATTGATTGGTTGTCGCTGTTCACAACCGCACCGTGATGACGGGTGCCGGAAGCCAGTATAATAGCTGGCGGCTGCCTACATACAACTGCATATCAATCACTTTTGGATGCACCCTTCCTGTACTTTGCTAAATCATATCAGATATACGCATGTACCATCTGGCCAGTAGCCCGGGATTTGCATAACCAAGAATGTACACTGATCGTACGGCTCACACTTTCGTCCACTGTGGTCCCGGATGCACTTTCCAGTAGAATAATATCATGTGAATATAATTTGCGTATGCTCAGGTATCGACTTCTAGTTAAAATGAAGCAGTACTATATTTGACAAAGATCTGACAACAGTATGATATACACACGCATTATGTGGGACTCAATCAATTGAACTTGGATAAATATGTAGCGCCAGGCTACACATGCAATCATATAATAGTACACAGTCCTCCGGAGTATCTACAGTACATGAGGGAGTCCCGCGACAAGGTCCATACCATTTGACTAGTGAGTATCTACAGCTATCCACTTCATCTATCCTAGGGATTTCAAAGAGTTCCACCGGGCATCGGATTCGTTGAGCCATTGCTCTAACTCGTCCAACCGCTTGAGCAGGTTGGTCTCCACCGAACCCACTCTGACTTCCAACGCTTCTACCCGCTCATTGGCGGCGAGGAGATCCAATCTCCTACCGAGGTCCTGGATGCCCTGTAAGATATCTCTTGATGTGGGCTCTAATTCGTGTAGGTTGGCCGGTGCAGACAATTGCCCATGTTCCGGCTGCTTTTCAGCTCGACTCGGAAAGACCTCCATGGGCTTTCGCTCCGCCCCTGCAAAGTCTAATGAGCTCAACTCATTCCGAGGCAATGAGAAAATGCACCTTCATCTATGACAATGCTCCGTTGAGAGCGGGAAGGACGCGCCGCGAGTGTTTGCGAGACGGCTCGGGACTTGGGTGTGTGGGGGCGTTTGGGCGCATCAGAGGAAGCTTTCGCTGCCTTACCTTGCAACCTCTGCCGGACACCAACGCCGTCGATTGCGCACGTGATCTTCATGGTGTCGCAATTGGCGCAGGCCAGGCGTGTGTGCCCGAATTTCTTGTCGGGGAGGACAAGGCAGGCTATGTCCAACTTGGCGCACTTGTCGCACTGTCGGGGGTGGTAACGAACGGAATGCTTCAAATTCGTTAGCCTTTGTTTATAACGATGCAGAAAATGACTTACCTGCCACGGAGTAGCGACATCAGAATCGGAGCCCCATTCTGCAGGCTTAGAAATGGGTCAACATCTGCACTATGCTTAAGCGATAATCACATACCCGCGTTTTTGAGTCCCGGAAAGATTTGGCTGCGACTAGTGGAGCATCCTTGTCAGTAGCGACAGGAGCTACTTTCTGGAGCGGCAAGCCCTTAGACACCTAACCAAAGATGAATAGACATACATACCTTTCATTTCACATAGATGACTCCTGTTGGCTCTTTGTCAACATCGGACTTCAACTTCCTCTTCTTGTTGGCAACCGCAATGGCCCCATCAGTATCTTCATCTTCCGCCTTCCTCTTCTTGCTATCACCGGCAGCAGAAGCTACCTTCCACTGTTCCATCTCAGCCTCCGGAAAATACAAGTGTCGGTATCTTAGGGGCGGATGTGCCGGACGACCGACACGGGGCGGGTTCTTGGGCGCTCGCACCCGTCATTTTGGTTCCGATACCGGCTTGGCGATGATACCCGGGTCCGTGTGGGATGGCATGGATGGTGGAGTCGAGGCTGTCGGTGGCGGGACAATGAGGGTCGGTGTTGTCGGGACAGTAGTGGGAATATCAGTCACTGTGGGGATGGCAGGAATGTCGAGTGTGGAGGGGGGGCAATAGTCCACGGTCTTCTCAAATCGTGGATGGCTCTTGATCCGTGGGTCGTCGTTGGTGACCGAGGTCCAGTCGGGAACAGTTTTCAAAGGCGCCACCCTTTGAGTGCTGTCTCACAACAGCGGCAAATGAGAGTAGCATGTGGGAGAATGATGTAGCATCCCCACTGTATAGTTTCAAATCTTTTGCCTGTGTCGAATGTCTTGGTTTAACAACGAGAATTTTAAATAAATTATAACAAATGCTCACCACATGCCTGGCAATCTCGTCCGACAGCCTTAAGGCCTCAGGGATCACTATCCTTCACCTTGATGCACCGCTTCATGAGCGTCTGTACGACAGCAAGCGTGACATTCAAGGCGTCATTTGCTACTTCTGCAGGTATGGCCATGATTTCTAGTTCGATCGAAAATACGGTAAGAAACAGGATGGATACCGTGGTTATGAGAAGTTGACTTTAGAAATTTTCGACAAGTCTGGATTGTAATCAATCCGGTCGTGAGTAATGCTTGGGACTTGTGACTTGTGGCTTGTGGATTGGGAAATGTGGATCAGTGGTAACTGTATTGTACTCGAGAGTGGTTCTATTGTTGTCCTATGTATTCGGATGTAATACCAATAATCCATCCACCAATGTCCAGATAAACCGGTACCGCATGTTTGAGTGAGCCAGACTGTTGGTCGCCCTGCATCCGCCCATCTTGGTCAGGTTGCAATTAAATTTTTCGTGCTGATTGTCCCAAAGATTTCCACATGTGAGACTTCTGAAACTCTATGCTCGGATCCACAGACCAGAACCTATTTGTTGTAAAAACCCTATTGTTTATTTGCAGTCCAGCTTATACAATTTTCTCACCGCATTGCAATGATTCTATTAGCAGTTGTGGATGTGTTTGACCAACGTGGCCGAACAAGACGTGTATTTTGATAGCATTTGTAACTTAATAAGAATTATTAGCTCCTGATATGATTGATGTATGAAATGAGCTAGCTGATCTGGCAATTGTAGCGGAAGGTCAGAGTTGTTCAAACAGAATTATTCGGTTCCATAGGGCCATAGCTAATAAGAAATCTAGATGCAGCAGAGACAATGGGAGCTGCAGCAGGATGAGAACCAAGCCGGAAAGCCGGACAGAGGTAGGCAATCCTTCACTACCTGTGTGGGGCTTCTTCTAGATGCTTTCCGAGGAGACATTCTGAGCATGTCATATCATCTATAGCTTTTGGAAAAGGCCTTGTGATGCTTGTTGGGTATCGTTGATATCCTCCCGGATGTGTTTAGTGCTGCTGCCAGCCTGGCCCAGGACAGCAATCTTGTGGAGTTCAGTAGCAAACGTCGGCATTGACTCCTTTTCAGTGGTGTCAAGCTGGTCCTTGACCTCATTTATGGCTATAGGCACAAATGATAAGATAATAAACAAATCGGAGCTCTCCCGGAGTCACAGAAAACAGCTGTGCCAATCATTGCTTACTTCAGGAAGAGTTGAGCATATCGTATTCATAGCGGAGACAACGAGCGTGACATGTCACAGAATGGACATTGATTTAGCTAATTCAAAAAACCCGCAAGGGGAAACTTCATGAATAATTCTTCACGGGCGTCATTCAGTCTGGACTGCCATTTAGCCAACAAATGATGGTACCTGATGACATCCGCGTCCAGTTAGATTGCATACAAATTGCAGTGATATCAATTTCAATGCTGAGCGTCCACTCAACATCACCGGATGCAATTTGGATTGACAATGCTCCATTTTCCAGAAAAGTGGGATGTCTATGAGATATTAGGTCTATGAACAACTTCTTACACCTATATGTTAAGAAATTGGCCGGAAGGTTGGATTTGTCTTTATAAAGTTTGCGTGTGCATGTTTGGCAAGTTCTTGGTACATATGGGCCTGCCAAATTGCATAACACTTGTGTCCCTCTGGTATTGCCCCGCCGGTCGACATGAGCCTTCTCAACCACATGCTTGCTTTGAAGAGGAAAAACTCCAAGGTCCAACCCATTTCATGTTCGACGAGTAAGAGTTCTTCCACCCATCGGTTGCGTAATGCTTTCATGCGAACCCAATGAACCCTGTAAACTGTTGTATCTTGAGCCTTGGCTCGAAAAACTTGGATTGTAAGTAAATACAGATGTACATTCATTCATCCAATCACTGCTAACTGAATCACCTTGTATGTCTAGAGACCAGAACCACGGGAGAGTTGCATTTCGCTGTCCCCAGGCATTGGGGTCCGCCACAGCAGCAGTGGTTTTGAGATGACATTTTTCCATCTGGAGGTACTTATTGAGTAAGCCATGAGCTTCCAGGTGGCCAAGTTGTGCCCGACATTTTGTATAAATCATTGTGTTGAGTCGGATGACCCTTTCAACCAAATGAACCTGCATCCATGCCCTTGTTGACTTTGCTTGTGATTTGGCCGGATGCACTGCAGTATGAAAGAGCACAGCCTTATCTGCTAGATGCATTCTGATCGCTTGCAAGGCGTCATTGGCTTGACCCTCCCGAAGTGCAATTTCTTGACCAAGGAGGTGTTCAACACCCAGCTCCGCACAACGTGCTACGCCGATATTGGATGGCAGAGGGATCAGGATCTTCTCTGGGTAGAAGAGATCTCACCACTGTTGTCCATCGGCTTCCAGTTCAGATTCGGTATCACTGCCATCAATTCCATTATCTTCCGAATCGTCATCCATGAAGTCCAAGTGGAGATCTCTAATTTCGTCATCCACGTCGAAGCCCTCGCCTAGATGAGTTGCTGCCACAATGGTAAATTCATCTATCCGACTTTGCAACTTTGTCCGGTGTCTGCATATGTCCAAGGTTTGGGTCTCTGTGGGGTGTCTTCCGAGCCTCCTAATATCCATACTGAGCGTGATCTGCATCTCTTCTATGGTAATACTGGATGCAATCCATGTAGCAGCGCCTCGTTGCGCATTCCCACTCAATCTGGCTGCCCAGGAAGACAGCAAAGCTAGCTTCTGTTGCTTTCGTGTTGGCGCTGGTCAATGTAATCAGTTTTGTGGGGCGGCTGCTGAGGGAGCAGATGCTCACCCCTCTTTAACTGAACTTCAAATACATCCATTGCCGATGGATCAGTGACTCGACGTGAATGAGCATATCAGGTCCTGTTCTTCCCATGTTGCAACCATGATAGGATCAGCAGTTTCGTTGAGCTTGTCAAAAGCAGAGGCGCTTTCTGCGACACCCTTAATAGCTTCCTTATATTTCCTGGCAAAGAAATCCACCTATATTATGCAATCAGATAGTCTTTACAAAGGATATTTGTGACTCAACTCATGCGAATCATCTTCATAAAATTGGAGTCATTCATCTGGTAATCGAGACACTCTTGCCGATGGGGAGTGGACATCCCTCTCGCTGGCAGGAGATATAATATTCAGAGGTGCCCACAACGTCTCCATGATTTTCGCCGTCGATCCTAGCGGCACCGGTAATAAATGTTGATGCATACCTAACATAGCATTTGTCTTGGTGTCCATGAACATGCCAGAGGCCAATGCCTGGTATGATTTCCATTCCAGAAGGGATGCTCAAATGAAGGCTCTTGTTCACCCGATGCCAGAAGTGTTTGTTGTATTGACAATTAATGTCATAAAATGTAAAAGCTTGGCTGAGCCCATCGGTGTGGTGGCTTAACGCGTGACATAGGGCGTAGTCCATATTCATTTGCCTAATCGTGGACGTCACCCGGTGAATCAAATGCACGGGATTATGAAACATACCGTTCGCCCTTTTGAAAATCCACAACGGAATGAGGCGCAAAACAGCCGTGGCGGGCGCACACGCACCCGCCTATCCCGGTAGCTTCTAGTTTGTGTCAGGACGCATTGGCCTGGTTAACGGCTCGGTGATTATTGCACTCGGAATGTTGAACAACGTCGTTCGCAACTGCGAGATGAGCCTTGTATTGGTCTTTGGAAACCATGAAGCACTGTCCATCCGTCAACCAGACTTCGTCGTCCGGATGAGTGGGATGAAGGTGCTCTGCTTTGAAGTTGCCATCCATGACCAGCGATCGGGCATAGAGCCAACTGGGATCATCTGGATTCCTATCGGCCGGGAGTGGGGCGTTGATACCGGGCTGCGGGCAAGCCAGGCAAAAGAGGGTGAGTTCCCCGGATGTCGGACTTCTGCTCTCATAAGCAAACCCATTCCATTTAAGCAGCTTCAGCTGGAGCCCCTTCAGTGACAAATTCCGTATTATATGGGCCACCCGACCTCCATAATATCCCGTATGAGACGGGCCAGCTGATCATGGGCCCATGTTGTGTATATTCTCGATGATGACGGATGGGCCGGGACACATATTATTTCCGATGGAGACGGGTGGGCCCATGTATGCCAATGATATATATATCCTTAATGTTGACGGATGGGCCGGGGGAATATGATCATTCATGGAGATGGGTGGGCCCATCTGGGTAATATGTAGAGTAGGATATTATAGACAGCTGGGCTGAAGAGAGATGTAAGGCAAATATTGTTATATAGACGGGCGGGCCGACATGGGTGTATTACATATATGGGTGGGCCGAGGTAGGGGAATATTACATAGACGGGTGGGCTGACGTAGGGTGTATTACATATACAGGTGGGCCGACGTGGAATGTATTACATATACGGGTGGGCCGACAAAAGGGATATCAAATAGACCGGTGGGCCGAGGGTGCGATAAAATAATTATTACATAGACAGGTGGGCCGAGGTGGGGTATAATTATATAGACGGGTGGGCCGATGTAGGATGTATTATATAGACGGGTGGGCCAACATAGGATGTATTACATAGACAGGTCGGCTGACGTGGGGGATAATACATAGACGGGCGGGCCGACGGGGGTGTATTACATATATGGGTGAGCCTAGATATGTTCCATCAAGACATACAGCTGATGTAGCCACCAGCGAATCAAACACATAGGATACTTGAAACCCAGTGTGCAACATGTTGATTTTTCATTTATATCACACAAATCATCGAGTTCCGAGTGCTGAGGGCTGAGACCCAAAGCCTGAGACCCAAAAATATGTACACAACATGTCCATTTTTCACTCACTGCACAAATCACCGAGTTTCGAGTGCCAAAGCGTGAAACTTGAAACCCAGTGTGCAACATGTCCATTTTTCATGTACATTACACAATTCATTGAGTTCCGAGTGCCGAGGGCCGAGACACGAACCCCAAGACCTGAAAATATCACACAGGATCCTTCTCCAGGAACAAAGCATAGACAATTGCACTTGTGACATTTTTTCACAATTTTCAGTATCTTGCCCTTGCATCCATGATCCAACCTTTTAATATATAATGAGCATAGCTTATATTCTTGCTTCTTATGACCAAGATCAGCTCACAATAGGCTGGAGTTTGTGAGCTAGTGTGCATACTTGCCATTTTGCCTGATAAGGGGCCCATGCCTTCAAAACATTGAATCTTCATAATCAGAAACCTGGGGTACATTTCAAATATCTTAAGTATCATAGACATAAATTTACAGACAAATCAACCAAGAATTGAGTACTGAGGAAGTGAAATGGGTAAGAAATTGAGTGTGGGAAACTTCAAAGACCCAAAGCATCGAAAATGGTTAGTTGAGCAGTGGTAGGACTTTAATGCTGGGTCAACTCATATTTTCACTATATCCCTTCTACCCACCCCCTACCCTCAGGGCAGTAGGCAGTATGGGTTCCTTGGGTAGTCTACAATCTATCCTACATATTTGTAATGATATTTTCGGCCTGAATCATATATAAATGTGACTTTGTATAAAAGATGTCTACTGTCACTCTCTACACATATGTCATTTTGCCTATCATTACATCAATCCTTCATGAATATTTCTAAGCTTTTAAGCTATTATAATGGATGTATATGGGTGTTATTCCAGGTCTCTGATCACATCACAGGCTTGTCATGTTGGATATCTCGACATAATGTGCAAGTCTCGCTATTCATATTCATTCTTTATCTTTAGACTCACTTACTGCACACATGTATTTCATTTGTCATTATTAATGTTTTGGATTTCTTTAGCTTATATCTTGGTCACATGGTAACCAATGGACGAGAAAAGACTACAAATAAACTCACCTAGACTCGGACTACAACCTTCATTAAGCTGACTACTGATTCCCAGATACCGAGTATCAAAACCAAATACTGAGTACCAATTACCATGTACCAAGTACTGCATAATGAGTAACAAGATAACCAATTGACAAGAAAAGACTACCACTACACTCACCTGGACTTGGACTACAACCTTTGGTAAGGAAGTTAAGCATAATAACAACTTTCATTTTTTCATTATTGCTGATGTTTTGCTGAATGACAAGGAAAGACTACCAAATCACTCACCTTGACATGGACTACAACTGTCATTTTTCATTATCATTTGCCTATATTGACTACCGAGTCTTGAGTACCAACCACTGACCACCAATCACTGAGTGCCGAGTACCGAGTACCGATAGGGAATAGCGTGGGTGAACCCCGGGGTATGAGTAGCACTACCCCCACCCATACCCCATGATATACCCACACCCACCTTGTGGGTGTGGGTTTTTTGGTGGGTATCAGGGAGAAACTACCGAGTCTTGAGTGCCAACCACTGACCACCAATCACCGAGTACCAAGTACCGAGTCCCGAGTCTCGAGTCTTGAGTCCCGAGTCCCGAGTCTCAAGTCCCGAGTCTGAAGTCTCGAGTCCCGAGTCTCGAGTCCCAAGTCCCAAGTACCGAGTACCGAGTACCGAGTCCCGAGTCCCGAGTCCCGAGTACCAAGTACCGAGTACCGAGTCCCAAGTACCAACCACTGACCACCAATCACTGAGTGCCAAGTACCAAGTACCAAGTACCAAGTACCAAGTCCCAAGTACCAAGTACCAAGTACTGACAAATACAATTCCCAGGTTATTTGAGCCCTACACCAATGGATAATACATACAAATACAATTTGTGCTCATTTGAAGTACCGGGTTTCAGGTTTTGACACTCGACACTTGGTGATTTGTGAAATGAGTGAAAAATGGACATGTTGTGTACATGATTTTGGGTTTCGGGCTTTGGGTCTCGGCCCTCGGCACTCAGAACTCGATGATTTGAGTAATGTAAATGACAAATCAACATGTTGCATGCCAGGTTTCGAGTTTCGGGTTTCAGCACTCAAAACTCAGTGATTTGTACAGTGAGTGAAAAATGGACATGTTGTGCACATATTTTCGGGTCTCGGGGTTCGGGTCTCGGACCTCGGACCTCGGAACTCAATGATTTGTGTCATGTAAATGAAAAATCAACATGTTGCACACCCGGTTTTGAGTTTCAGGTTTCAGCACTTGAAACTCGGTGATTTGTGCAACAAGTGAAAAATGGAAATGTTGCATACATATTTTCGGGTCTCGGGCTTCGGGTCTCGGCCCTTGGCACTCGGAACTCGATGATTTGTGTAATGTAAATGAAAAATCAACATGTTGCATGCCAGGTTTCGAGTTTCGGGTTTCAGCACTCAAAACTCGGTGATTTGTGCAATGAGTGAAAAATGGACATGTTGTGTACATATTTTCGGGGTTCGGGGTTCGGGTTTCGGCCCTCGGAGCTCGGAACTCAATGACTTGTGTAATATAATTGAACAATGGACATGTTGCATGCCGGGTTTCGAGTTTTGGGTTTCGGCACTTGAAACTCAGTGATTTGTGCAACAAGTAAAAAATGGACATGTTGTGCACATATTTTCGGGGTTCGGGTCTCGGACCTCGGACCTCGGAACTCAATGATTTGTGTGACGTAAATGAAAAATCAACATGTTGCACGCCGGGTTTCAAGTTTTGGATTTCAGCACTCAAAACTCGGTGATTTGTGCAATGAGTGAAAAATGGACATGTTGTGTACATATTTTCGGGTCTCGGGGTTCGGGTTTCGGCCCTCGGAACTCGGAACTTGATTACTTGTGTAATATAATTGAACAATGGACATGTTGCACACCCGGTTTTGAGTTTCGGGTTTCGGCACTTGAAACTCAGTGATTTGTGCAACAAGTGAAAAATGGAAATGTTGCATACATATTTTCGGGTCTCGGGGTTCGGGTTTCGGCCCTCGGCACTCGGAACTTGATGATTTGTGTAATATAAATGAAAAATGGACATGTTGCATGCCGGGTTTTGAGTTTCAGGTTTCAGCACTCAAACCTCAGTGATTTGTGCAACAAGTAAAAAATGGACATGTTGTGCACATATTTTCGGGTCTCGGGGTTCGGGTCTCAAACCTCGGACCTCGGAACTCAATGATTTGTGTCATGTAAATGAAAAATCAACATGTTGCATGCTGGGTTTCAAGTTTTGGGTTTCAGCACTCAAAACTCGGTGATTTGTGCAATGAGTGAAAAATGGACATGTTGTGTACATATTTTCGGGTCTCGGGGTTCGGGTTTCGGCCCTCGGAGCTCGGAACTCAATGAGTTGTGTAATTTAAATGAACAATGAACATGTTGCATGCCTGGTTTTGAGTCTCGGGTTTCAGCACTTGAAACTCAGTGATTTGTGCAACAAGTGAAAAATGGAAATGTTGCATACATATTTTCGGGTCTCGGGGTTTGGGTTTCGGCACTTGGCACTTGGCACTTGGTTATTTGTGTGATATAAATGAAAAATCAACATGTCGCACACTGGGTTTCCAGTTTCATGCTTTGGCACTCGAAACTCGGTGATTTGTGCAGTGAGTAAAAAATGGACATGTTGTGTACATATTTTCGGGTCTCGGGGTTCGGGGTTCGGCCCTTGGCACTCGGAACTCAATGATTTGTGTTATATAAATGAAAAATCAACATGTTGCACACTGGGTTTCAAGTTTCACGCTTTGGCACTTGAAACTCGGTGATTTGTGCAACAAGTGAAAAATGGAAATGTTGCATACATATTTTCGGGTCTCGGGGTTCGGGTTTCGGCACTTGGCACTCGGAACTCAATGAATTGTGTAATGTACATGAAAAATGGACATGTTGCACACTGGGTTTCAAGTTTCACGCTTTGGCACTCGAAACTCGGTGATTTGTGCAGTGAGTGAAAAATGGACATGTTGAACAATGGGTTTCAGGGTCTCGGGTTTGAAAAATAGCATAATAACAACTTTCATGTTTTCATTATCATTTGCCTATATTGACTACCGAGTCTGATTAGAGACCCCTTGGATGATTCATTGCTCAATGAAATACTACCTGATTGGAAGTGTGCTGGTTATCAGATATTCATTTGTCGACTCCCGGGTCCCGGAACTTGGAAGTCGGTATGGTTGACCCAAATTTGGGTGGTCGGAACTTGGCGTCTCATAGGGCAACACAAGCTTCACACCCTGGATTCCAAATTCTGCAAGACAACCTGTGCACCATCAAAGGCCATGTCAGGAGATCACCTGCTGCTCCGGGAACTCGGGAACTTTGATTCATTACCTCCTCTGAGTACGGTTGACCCAAAGGTTGGTAATCGGAACTTGGCTTCTCATAGGGTAACACAAGCTTCGCACCCCGGATTCCAAATTTTGCAAGACAACCTGTGCACCATCAAAGGCCATGTCAGGAGATCACCTGCTGCTCCAGGAACTTGGTAACTTTGATTTTATTACCTCCTCTGATTTGGTTGATGTACAACTACCTCAGCTCCATCGTGTTTACAATTATGATACACATGGGCCCACCCATCTATATTTTATACCACCCTCGGCCCACCCGTCTAATACAACATCCCATACAACACCCTCGGCCCACCAGTCTAATTAATATGCGTCTGGGCCTACCCATATAATACAATATTGTATAATACCCTCGGCCCACCCGTCTAATTTAATATGTGTCTGGGCCCACCCGTGAATGTGATAACAAGTACCTACCCATCTATCTCATACACATCTACCTTAATACACCCATCTGCATAATATCCAACTACCTCGGCCCACCCGTCTACCTAATATTCATGTACATCGGCCCACTCATCTACTCTATATATCCCCTGCATGGGCCCACCCGCCTCCATCGGGAATAATTTGCCTCCCGGCCCATCCGTCATAGTCGAGGATATTTTTATCATGGGCCCATGGTCCGCTGGCCCGTATCATACGGGATATTATGCACGTCCGTTCCCTCGTATTATACGGAAATAGGTCACTGTAATATGTGTCAGCTGTCGCCATTGCCGTGCCACTCTCATTAATTCTCTGTAACGATCCTATGATGAATTGAGATGCTATAACCATGATATTCTATGGGCAACACGTACCGGGACTAGATGCGGAAATATACTGGACGTCATTCTTCTCAATTTGTTGTAGTAATTCATTGCCGAAGTTCTGCATTCCAAGTTGTCCAATGCGAAACCATCCAGCACTGGAAAGGTAAACGCAGTCTTGGGTCGGGTGAAGGATGCCGGAAACATGGCCATCTCGAATAATTGCTTATCAGGTGTGCAAGCATTCGGACATTGACAAAACCTTATCATGATAGAATGGACTCCGGACTTGTCAACGATTGTGATGCATTGCTTGCGGTTCAAGAATGGTGGCTCGAGTATGGTAGGGAAGTCCTCTGCCGGTTGATATATGGGCTCGTCGGTGTCCTCCCATTCATGGATATCCCCAAGTGCTGGACAAGGCATTCCCTGATGCCCAAGATAAATTTCCATATCAATCTTGGTCAGAGACGTTTCCTCGAAAAATCCTCCATTCCATTTGCCTATCTCATGGAAAGGCAGTCTCCGGTGCTCATCTCTGCAACACTTCAGACAAAATACCGGGTTGCCGAGGCAGTCGTAGCACCTATACGCAGGGAACTCGGAGCCACATGTGCAGCATGTTTTGTCTTCGGGTGGAGCCTCTCGTTCATGAAGGATTCTAAGATAATCGTTTGTCCGAAATTTCCACTCCCGGAGATAATCATTTGGGCTCTGGGACATCACTCAGCACGGAACCCATGGCGTAAATTTTGTAATGCACCTTTGTCTTCTTTCTCCCTGACAGTACGTTGAGGGCACCAATTGGTACCTTATCGCCAAAGTCCTCATGGTCAGCATTGAAATCGGTGGACCATTGATCCCATGCACAATCGGAATTATGTTTTTTGGGAGACTTTGCTGGAGAGGACTGCATGGATGGACTGGGTTTGACTGGGCACCATTTCCCTTTCAAGCCGCGAGTGGTCTCCTTCGTTTTCCATGTCACCCATTGCGCCGTTCCCCGCGGAGCCAATGTCCTTACCCTAGACTTGCCCATGTAGTTACTGAGAACTTGTGTGAATTTGAGGACAGTCAAAACATATATTCGCATTCATGGCTCGCTTAATAGCCGAGGCCAAGCACAAATAAGGTAAAGGTTAATATTCTAAACACAACCCATTCAATTTGTACCTTGTCCTTCAATAATGTCAGACCACAACTCAGCCTCTGATTCAGAGTCCAACAAACAACCTCCAGCAAATGAAGAAGAGGTTGCTGTCCTGCAGTCTTATCTCGAGCAATGGCGCTCAGCTGCTCCATCGGAGCGTAAGAATATCTTGAGAGCAGCTACAATGGAAGCCTGGACAAAAGCACCGGTAATGTCCATCGTATTGTCCAAGGCTCGCAAAGCGGTGCGTTAGTATTGATTTTGGCATATGAAGCACTCCTCATCAGCATTCAGACATATGAGACATGGTTCCGGAACTATGCAAAGGCCAAGAAACAAGGGAAACCCCCGATCAAGATGGGGCAGAAATGGACCGAGAGAAGCGTCATAGACACGCTCCGGAAGAAGGAGCTGTTGAAAAAAATCGAGGACGAGACTGGTGCGAAACCAGGAACAAAGGAGATGATGAACCATTACACGGTCACCTAAACCGGCTGATGGCATCACTTTCACCGGAAGACCTTAAAGAAGCCAAAGAGACAGCCGATGAATGGAATAGTGAGGGCGTTCCGGACGATGTAAAAGTCGAGATCGCAAGAAAGAAAGGCGACGATATGATTCGACACTTTGCATCGGAGATGTGGAACCGCTCCGGGATCAGGGTGTTCGTGTTGTCAGCTTGGAAGGATGGGGAGAGCAAGGTCCAGGTGTCCGGGTGTGTTTTCAGACCATTGGGACCCGCAACTTCTCACGCTCCAGACAGACATGACTATAACCAAGAGTTTGGGGGTGCCGAGTCGTTCATGAAGACTCAGAACTGGAAAGTGATCGAGCCAGAATGGGACGCGTATGCTGCAAGTGTATTCGGTAAGCCGCCTCATTATGTATCCGGTAGCTACTAACCGTTATAAGAGGGCAATGTGGACGAAAATACCATTGCTCGGAAGAGGGGTAGACAGGACAACACGTATAGCCTTGACATCGGGGATGACGGGTATCCTGTAATCCCTGCATGTGCGTCCATGGATTTAGATACAAAGAAGGCAGTCATCCGGGCATTTTTGACATGGCATTACAGTGGGTCGATTTCCTCCTTCCGGTGAATGTAGTGAGCTAAACAACCTGAAGGGAGGTGTTGCGGGGACCCCAAAGTCTCCGTCCCATGGAAATATGTGATACCCAGGTACAAAAAGATCATTCCCGTACAATATCTTCCAGAAGGTCACGATCTCGCTGAGCCATCGAAATTAAGGCAGGTCCACGCCACAGAGCTTTTACGGTTTTGGCATAGCAGACAGGAGGAAGGTGAAGAGCATGTCTTCGAATTCATAGGATGGTGGGACAATGATAGCCAGGACATCGTCCTTGCAACCGACCGAGATGGACGTGTCACTAGCCAGGCGCGGCCAATCACCCAGACGAAGAAATCATCCGGATCAAAGCAAAAGCAGCCCGGTTATCACGGGCAATCTACAGCTGGACAATCTTCTGGTGAAAAGGTGAAGGACAATAAGCCAGCCGCTGCACGTCGTGCCGGAGTCAAGGTAGTGAAGAGCGCCTCATCTTCATCACCCCGAAACAAGAGCGAGAAATCTAAGAACAAACTCAAGTCATCCGAGGAGGATATTCACTACACAGGGATGGCAGATGATAGGTCTTCTGGTGAACTATCTGAGGACTCGGATGATGATATGCTACCTCCCGAGAAAGGAAGGCGAATGGAGGGGAAGAACTTGCTTAGGGGGTCACAAACCCGCCGCCACCAAGCGGCTCTCATGAGTAGCAGTGACTCTGAAAGCGAGGTCGAACAAGATGTCCCTTCAAAGGCGATTGCGGCTTCGGACAAACATGCCAGGAAGGACATGGCCCCAAATATTAAGGCTCGGACCCCCTACATAAGCTCAATGGAGAGCAGGGCGCTGGTTAGTCGAGAAACGGCAGCTGTGAAACAGAATGCAAAGGGTACTGCACGCGATCGATCTAAGTCCGGAGTGGTAGAAGCAGTCATCCCGCCAGTTCGGCTGGTGGGACCAGCCTCCTGGGCTGGTCGCAGCGCGCCTGTCAATTGTGACGCTTCTGCATCGACAAGAACAGCAACACATACAATGCCCATAGAACGCCATCTGACTGGTGGAGAACATGCAAGGAAGGAACGAAGGAAACGTCCTGCCGAGGAGACTTTAGAAGAGTCGCCTGCGAAATGGACAAGAGGCCGAGGAATGGTAAAACCGGTCCCTGAGAATCTGACAGAGCCCGCAACCAAGAGACCGAAGAAACGGGTCGCTGAAGAATCTATGGAAGGATCCCCTTCAAAACGTACCCGGAGCAAAACTTCTGACCGCCCTCCCACAGCACGTATGCGCAAGCCAAATTCCCGATATGCTCACGATTATGTAAGAACTTGAGTACAAACTGATGTTGCATGCGTGTTATCATAACTCTCTCCTCCGGATATGGAGACATGGACATTGTACAATTTGTTTGTATGGTAATACATAAAGCTACTACCACGCAGTTCTTTTCGATTATTCAAGTCATCAATCTTCTGGAAATCAAGCTATGTCTACTCATCACCTTGCTGAAGGTGTGTTATCATAGCATCCAACGGATCCATAATGCGCCTGTGGATGTCCAGCAATCGGTAGATTGCAACAACATCCTCACCAAGCTCCGTCACTCTGTCCCGTGCTTCTCCATATGCAACAATGAGCCTCCGGTTCGCCCTCAACGCGCCTGCCGGAAATTGGTTTGGTGTGCCAGAGGGATTATCCGTGACCATATTCTGTGCATCCTCATTCCCTGTTGCAAATATATGTAAGGTATAATCATTGTACAAGTCAACATGACTTACGCTGATGAGTTCCGATGCTGTTCAGTCGCTGGATGGCACGATGCATTGACAGACCAGCCTCCTGAAAAGTGTTGAGTTGGGACGCCGTATGTGAAGACGCTGCGCAAGCTGCACAATTAGCACCATATGCAGCATATCTGAAAACACTCACATCCAGTGTCCGATGTCAGGTCGATGATTTCCGGTATCTCTATAGTCATCGGCTGGTATCTTTTATTGCTTTCTGATCTATGAGCTGCAATGCTATTAGCGACAAATATAGCAGATGAGATATAACTTACATGCAGATGACGATGTTAGGTCGATTATATCGAGCCCGTACATCGGTGTCGGACTATCCATCTGGCGACCCAATTGTTTGCTTGAAGGGTCATTCCTGGATACAACATCCAGGTTGTCGGTATCATCATTTCCCCATCCGCAGTCATAAGGGTCCTCGAGATTCACGACCTTGGACACACGGTTGGCATCCTCTTTGTCCTCCCATCCGCAATCATACAGGTCCTCCGTTGCAGCACTGGATATGGGCACTGTGGTATCATTTTGCTGATCCCCCCATCCACAGTCGTATGGATCTTCTTCGTCGCCGAGAGTCATCGATGAGGCTGCGGGTTGGATCTCCATAGCATCCTCCCATCCGCAGTCGTAGGCATCTTCTTCCTCACCCATCGGCAGACCCGTTGCCGGACCGTCCTTCTTCGAATCATCCTCCCGTCCAAAGTCTCGGGGAAAGTCCTTCACTCCCGACGTTTCGACGTCCATGTGATCCTCCCATCCGCAGTCGTACGGATCTACTTGCTCTGCTGAGAACAAGCCCAGAGCGATATATTCGGCAGCCAAATTTATCTCCCAACCGCAGTCATAAGGGTCCATTGTCGGTGATCTGGCAATGTCATCCGCAGCTATGCCGCCGATTAGTTCCATCCAAGCTGGATACAAAGGTACTCACATTTATCCGGCCGCTCATCATCGCACATGGATCGATCCATGGAACCGCCATTCTCCTGTATGTAACCGAGAGGCGACTGGTCCAAGTTCGTGAGTCCTTGGGATCGTGGACCGGCCGTTCGAGTAACGGCAGGACCATGAAGCATGTCAAGGACATGGATATCTTCCAAAATCATGTTAGAATATATCCAGGATGTGACGGGATGTGACAAACCTGCTAGCATGCTTGTAACTTCATCAAATTCTCCTAAGAAGCACATGTCGTATCCTGCATTGTAAGGTTAGCTTAGCGATACAAGTCAGGCCAGAATTAACATACTTATGTCCCTGTTTGCGATGGGATCGTTTGTCCACTCTTGGCTTAACCGTACCTCGTCAGCCAATTTATATTCTGCATTACGAGTTTTTAGCAATCCCGGATCAGAAGCTTCGAGACCTGACTTACGTTTGAACCTTATATAAGGTTCCACTCCGATCAGTCCCTTAAACCTCGGTATCTGGGAAGGCATGGGCGGAATCCATGAGTCTAACGGTGTGTATCCACTCCACCAGGCGAGTGGCCCTTCGAATTTGTGTTTTGCTATCTCCGGAGAGTTGCTGCACGAGGGTCTGTAGGAGTCAGAGGAATTGTCATAGCTGCTGTAAGAAGTAGCACTGGTGACCGAGTCCTGATCATCCGAATATACTGAAGTAGCAAAGCGAACACGTTTTCCAAACATGACTGTTCTGTGTAAAATAAGGAGATCGGGGAAGGACTACGATGTGCCAAGATATACTAACTTAGATATGTGGATCACCCGACTTTGCCACTGTGGCAGCGGAATGCGTGGGACAATGATCACAGAAGAAGTTGTATCACGTGACCAAGTTGTTAACAGGTCCACAGCACCGTGCTTCGACAATGGCCACGTGTTCTCGGAAACGCCCATAACTGAGGCATCAGTATAAATCCTGAGACTTATTTAAAAATAATCGAAGTCGTCTTTCTTTGCGTATACCATCACCAGTTGCTCACTAAATTCTATAGACCGTGATGACACCTTCGGAAATTGCAAACAACGCTCTCCAGGCTACACTCGAGACTGTACAATCGCTGATGAAGCGTTGTTTGAAATTAAAGGAAAGTGATCCAGGCACACTGATGTTATCGGATGAGATCGCCAGACGCCTGGTGAGTGTCGCTCCACCGGATCTGTACTGTATTTTGGATAACTAACTCAATTTGGTGCAGGCAAAAGATTTAAAGCTTTATGGGGGGAGCGCTACATCGTTCTCCCCTAAGCTGCTATCCTGTGCCGCCGTAGTATGGGAGCACTCCAAGGCCGGCATCTTTGTGTCATTGCCCGACTGGAAGACCGTCATAGACGACGACCCACGCATTAAGAGTCACCCGCGGTTCCACAAGACTGTGGACTACCGCCCCTCCACCTTTGCTGAACCCCAACTGACCACGGCGACGGCGGAGTCCACGGTAAAGACTCTTTCGGAATCGATCAGACCCCCTCGGCTCGGCTCATGGAAGGCGACGCAACCAGCTCCATTGGCTGGTAATGAAGTGCTACCAAGAACGCCCAGGTTACAAACCCCGGGGGTTCCGGTTACAGAACTCATGAGATCAGACATCCGAAGCAATGCCATCCCCCCATTGGTATTCCCGCCACCGACCTGCCTGCCACGTTCCATCGCCCCTGCGATGGTGAGACACGGTATCCATGCGGCTGGAAGCATGAAGACAGAGACAACCGCACAGCCCAGGAAGAGGAAAAGGAAAGTGGAAGAGAGCGACAATGACGGCAAAGAAGCGGAGGTAGTTCATGGATGCACACCAACTCCCGTTTCCCGGAAGCCGATTCACAAACGGAAGAAGAAGTATATGTTGGATGAAGGAGACACCGGGGACACCGGCACCACCCATGTTAAGGTGACTCTGACAGTATATATCTGTTCATTGCTCACGAGGAATTGATATAGCACAAGACGGTGTCGGTAAAGACATTCAATGCTGGGGCTCCTGATGCCATATCAGCCGACACGTCCGCAACAGATTTGGTGAACGACAAAGGTTTTTGGGACGAAAAACCTAGGGTAAGTCGTCTCTGCCTCGGTGATTCCGGGTCTTACTTGCACCCTTCTAGCCTGTCGGATGGGGTTTGGATTCCAACATCGCCACAACGATGGAGGTAGGCAAGCAAGCAAATGTACGCTGTCAATATTAGCTTAATGCATGGCACAGATTTCCGTGCGCTACCACCCACGGCAATGTGACAAATGTGTCAAGTTGAAGGTTCCTTGCATAGTTCTCCCGGACAAGAAGCCCGGATGCATCAGACTAGTTTGTGCCTCTCGTGTGGCTCAGACTGTTACCGTGGACGACCCGCCAAACGGTATGCCTATCCGTGACATCATTCAAACATATTAAAATTTTGGTCCCTAACTCAGAGCAACCTACCAACTCAAGGCCTAAGCATCCAGCTCTGCTAGTGCACCAAAACATCCAGACGTCCGACCCTTCCAAACAATCGGAAATAGGACTCCCTGAAATCATTTCAATTCCGGCTCCATTGCAGCCACCAGGACCCACCAATCTCCCGGTTCCTGAACCCAGCGGAACAGACATCTTGCGGAGCATCCAGGACCTTGGCAGGAGATTCGATCTCCTTGCAACCAATGAGCGGGTGGATGCATTGGATGCAAGGGTTGATTCGGTGGAGGACAGGTTTGGATGGAGGCTGATGGTGCTGGAGAACCAGATCACTGCCTTGGATGCGCGTTGGCAGTTGGTCGCATCGTCGATGGATAATCTGTCAATGTCCTTGCAAATCCATAAGGACGATCCGGCCGCTCACCGTCCTGGCTCCTCCAACCGCACCAAATATGCGCCGCAAAATGCCCCCGTGGATGAACGCCTGGGAATCTCGACCGTCGGTAGGGAACGCAACCATGAATGCAATTAGTCGGTTATGATGGATATGGAAGGTGACGACGGGACATCGGCATTCAGCATGAGGCTCATCTGCGCCCCACACCTGCGAGATCAGAGGGGTGGATCGTTACCAGCGGCATGTACTGAGTTCATGGTGTTTCCTGTTTTCGTATTTCACAGTTACATGGGATTTGAATTGATTTTTATCACAATTGTAGTGCACCAGCCTAGTTAAATTTGGTATGAGAGCAAATACAAAGATATGTGCTTGGATGGTGCAAACGGTGCACATGAGAAGATAGACAATAAAAAGGGTCACCTGTCATATTTACACCGGCAGGATGTGAATACAGATATGTTAACATAAATCTATAAACTCTATTCTGATGCTACTACAGCATTCCCCCTGCCTCCGAGTGTGGCAATACATTTGTGAGCACAAAATGTCAGCCAAAACCATTCCAGACCCTTACAGATACAAGGGACGCACCATTCCAGAGCGTACCCTCCTGCACTTATATCAATGCAATCAATGCAATCAATGCCAATTTTTCATCGAAACTAGAATCAAATTAATGAATAATACCTATGCATGTTTCTAGGACCATTTGTCTCGCGTCCGGAGCCCAAATATGCTCGAACTATGAAGCTGAGTTCATCCTTTACGCGTTCCGGCACCATCCAGGTGGAAGTCTTCTTGTAATCATCGGTTTGATCCATCTGTTCAGGTTATGGGCCGAGGGAATCTAGCATCGGTAGGGGACATGGATGGGCCCAATCAATGATCTCCAGAACCGGACTAGGATGAAATCGAGGCTAATGGGTTCAGTTAATTTAGCATTTCCTTTGTCCCAGGTCAAATTTACTGATCCCAAGACCCTTTTCATTGCAAATGATCCCAGCTAACTCATTCTCGGAGATAGAGATGGATGAGCCCAACCAATCATATTGAGCACCAAAACCTACCAAACGGACTAATTCTGAAGATTTAGGTATCCTTTTAGGTCGGAAATCAAATCCCCTATCAATCATCTGCAGGTCCCGTATTTATCATGGAATTTTTCGCATATGTCGATTCGGAGACTCCCGTTACGCAGCCTTGTATGTCGAAATAGAACTTCTCTTGAGTAAGGAATAACCGGCAAACAAATACAGCGCTGGGTGTCGACGAATATTTGCACCGAGGATGATAATGATGATAAGTCCTGCCTTCCTTTGTTGGCATTGAGAACTCAAATAGCACACTTGGAATGTAAATGCAGTAAGAATGGTCAACTACAGCATTAGTATCCAAAGTAAAGCATATCAACCGATCAGTCAAAACAGTATGAAATTACGTGACACCGGTCCAACAACTTATGTCGATTCAACAGTCTACTTATCAGACATAGTGGATGACATGCTGGACAATCGGGAGGATTCAACTGAAGCTTCCCGAAGAACGGGGGTATCCGGAGGATAACCCGTCCGCATAGCCGATGCAGATGTTTCGAGGCAGCCGTGCGCACCCGTTGCGACGGATGGGTCCCATGCATGTGTCCACTGTCTGCCGACAGTGGAGATACCCAGATCATCGACACCACTGGCACCATGGAGCCACGCTGGAAGCTGAGCGGTCGGGTGCTGTGGAGGTGCGTAGGCAGTGGTGTTCACGTGGAGTCTATGGGCTTCGAGGTCATCTTTGTGGTCCCGGAGACAATTTGTAAAATGTCCGACCGACGATGTCATCGCCTTCCATTGTGCATCGGAGGAATTCATGCGTTGCTCCAACGTTGCCAGCCGGTGGCCGAAGACTTCCTCCACTAAAACAACCTTGGCATCCAATGCATCCACCCGATCATTCGTGGCGAGGAGGTCAAACTTGCTTCCAAGGTCCCGGATGGCCTGCAGAATATCTTTTGCAGTCGGCTCGGGCTCCGCCGGATGGCTGGCTTCCATAGAGTGGGTGTCCTTAGGATGGGTGGATTCAATTGGGTGGATGTCCTTCGGATGGTCGATCATAATTGGTGCAGCAATCGGTGGGGGCAATGTAGCTTCGGCAGGAGCCAATGTCAAATGTATCGGTTGTTCCTCAACATCTAAGGCAGTAACAAATGAGTCGAGGCGCAATTCTGGCGCAGCTGCACTCACTACCATGTTCGACAATAATATCTTCCATAACATGGGAGGACGATGACACTGCCGGAATGCTCGGTGCTGCCTTTTGGAGGGTGCTGTGCTCACTGCCATGTTCAACATTATCTTCCATAACATCGGCAGCTGAAGGTACTGGCGGAATGCTCGGTACAGCCGGGGAAGCTTTTTTGAATGTCTTTTTGACGGCTCGAGCCTTTGGGACACGTGACCTGGAGCGCTTGGGAGGTTCGGCTACTCGTGCCACTGCCTTTGCTTTGGCTTCAGCCTGCAACCTGTCCCGGACACCCATACCATTTATTGCGCAAGTCACCTTTGTCTTGTCACAATTGGCGCAAGCGAGTCGCGTACATCCAACTTTTTTATCCGGCAGAACAATGCAAGGTATGCTTAATTTCTCGCATTTGTCGCATTTCCGGGGATGGTAGCGAATAGAATGCTGACGTGGGTCAACAGGTGCTACCGTTGATAGGTCAAACGCACATACCTCCACCGCTGTGGCAATCGTTGAATCTAGACCCCAATCACGAGGCTGAAATATTTGTATAGTTAGTTCTACAGAGCACCGAGCCAGAGCTGGAAGTCACTGACCCTAGTTTCTGTGTCCCAGAAAATATCATCAGAGGCCTTGTCAATCGCGTCCTGAGCTTCCGGGTCCGATACCTTTTCAGATTCCGCCGCCGACGATGTGTCCTTGGGCAATGTCAGTGACAAGCTTGCATCGGTGATTGATGAGGAACGGTTGCTAGACCTACATTTGTACTTCCATTCTTAGTTATACGGAGTTGATCTTGTGCATCATGAGACGATAACTTCTTCATTCTTTTCAGATTCTGCTTGAGAGATCTAGATGGGGAACTGGGAGCGTCCGCCGAATCGGTATCGTCTTCTTCAGCCTTTCTCTTCTTGTCATTCGTAGGGTGCGGAGTAAGCTTGACCCTGTTTGACATATTGCCTGGCACGAAGAGCTTGTACTTTGTTGTGGCAGGGGTAGCAGAAGTGACTGATGGAGCAAGAGGAGTCAGCGGTTCTAGCTGCAGAGAGGCCGGCAATGGGGACAGCGGCGTGAAGTTTGCTGGAAGTGCGGGAGCTTGTATTATCAAAGGACGGATAGCCGCAGGAACAGTGAGAGGTTTACTTATAGACGATGACCCGGTAGCTTGATCCTCCAAAACGGGAAGAGTTCCAACTGCAGCGAGAGGACGGTAGTTCAACGTCTTGTGGAAGCGCGGGTGGCTCTTGATGCGTGGATCATCATCGACCACAGAGTTCCAGTCGGGCAAACTTTCAAAGGCGCCACCCTTAGAATATTGACGCACAACGGCTGCACAGGACAAGAGCTGGGGGGAGAATGATGTCGCATGTCCTCCATAAAGCCTCAAGTCTTTTGCCTGTGCCAATTTGAACAATCAAATCAATGTAAACGAAAGTAGACTTACAACGCATCTAGCAATCTCATCCGATAGCTTCAAGGCTTCTGGATCTTCCTGTTTCAAGTGGATACAACGCCTGATGAGCGATTGCAAAGTCGCAAGTGTGGTGTTGAGCGCGTCATTTGCTACATCGGGCCTCATAGCAGTGTTGAAAACAAACAAGTTTGTGTAATGCAACTATATGCCAAGGAAAGAAAGGTGACACTAAGAATTTGCACAAGTATCGGAATTTATACAAAGATCGTCGGTTGTGGATGTTTCCGAGGAAGTACGTTGTGAAAGCACGGTAATGTAGACTCGGTATAATTACATTATGACGTAATTCCATGCCTGTCGCTACCATTGTCCGATGTATTTGGTTTCCACGCCTGTAATCCAGCTATTGACACATCAACACCTTGGATTGAACTATCATAGTCAAATAGGTTTGTTTGTGCTACCCTCCTGCATGCGGGTGTGGATGATACTGCCTTCAGTTTCTCTGCCGATGGTAATAGTGCCCAGCAAATCCGAGGCAGCAGCATGCCATTTACAGAACAAAGGATGGAATTGAGTGGTGAGATGCGTTTGTTCAATTATCATTGCAAACTCCTCCGAAGTGGGGACAACAACTGGATCCGGAGTGGAATGTAAGGATGTGAAATGCACCAAGGAACATTATCGAAGCTAGAAAATGAGAGCAGTGATTGCTCAGCGAAAGTTCGTAATATCCAGCACAACATGCATTAGGAATTCAGCTTAGTCCCAGATATATTTGACACAATAATTTCATCAAGACCTTTAGCATGGTGTCCGGTGGCCATTGCATTTAGCGCCAGCCCCTAAGATCCACCTGCGATGATCCATATGCTGCGGGCCTTGTCATGATGCATCACCAAACGGCGATTGAACCCGGACATCCACGGTGTCCGAGATCATCAGAAACATCTGCGCAGCTGCATTGGCACCATACCTACCGGTCGGTTCGTGCATGATATTATATTGACAGGACATCCGAGCCGACCACATACCAGACGACCAACCAGCTACATTCCCATTGGGTGGGAGGTGCCATAACTGACATTAAACCATCCGGAAGCGCTTCCTCTGTGTCGGATACGGGCGATTCCATGATAGTTCACGCATTCTCTAACATATTCCGAGCACATTTGTGGATTGAAGTTTCCTTTCGATCACCGAGATCACCTGTGTACATTTGTTACCAAGCAAATTTAACCTGCCTTATCTACCAAAATTGTAATGAAAGTTAGGCAAAATGTGATGTCACATCGGAATGCAAATCAAGGGATGAACGGGTTGTGCAGTCAAGATCTACTCCTGTGTTCTGACAGGTTACATGCTAGACAACGGGGAAGATGCAATAGAAGGCTCGTGTATATAAGGAGGATCCGGGAAATATGTCGGCCGCCAACTAGATGTCGAGGCCTGGGCGTCGCCTTGCATACCCGTCGTAAGAGACTGGTCCCATGCATGGGTGTACTCCCTGTCTATAGTGGAGATGCCAGGATGTTCATCACCGGCATGATTATGTGTCAGCCATGACATGATGGTTGGTTCTGGTAGGTGCCGGGGTGGGTGCGTACTACCGTCGGCGCGAGGAAAATGTGCACCCGGATTGTTGCTGTGCACCCGTAAGGACATCGAATGATTACCGATTGATTGTGACAACGACTCCTGATGCGCAATGGATACGGCGAACCGTTCCTCCAGCGCCGTCAGCCTCAGGGTAATCTTCCGCTCTACTGAATCTACCCTCACATCCAAAGCATCCATCCGCTCATTGGTTGCCAGGAGATCAAATCTCCTGCCAAGGTCATGGATGCTTTGCAATATGGCTCTTGCAGTGGGTTCAGGCTCTGAGGGGGCGGCTGGCACAGGATGGAACGATCGGTGCTAGCATGTCGACCGGTGGGAGTTGCAGAGATCTGAATACTTGTACATTCGGTGGCGCCTGCAAGTTTGCACCATCCGGCATCAAGTTCATCTGTCCTTGCCCGACCTCTGAATATGTCGTCAAAATACGCGGTGAGCAAGTCCGAAGGATATGATGAATGTGCTTACCAATCGGAGGATTGTCCGGCAGACCTTTCTGTAGGACAAGGGAGGATGAACGTTTGGACAGTTTAGTTCTCTTCACAGGAGCCGATGCGACAGGTGCTGTGACGGCCGCGCGTGACTTGGGTGCACGCGTCCTAGAACGTTTGAGCGGTGCATTGCTGCCGGTGTTCTTCGCAGCTCCCTGTGCCTTTGCTTGTAGCCTTTGCCGGACACCGGCACCGTCGATCGCGCAGGTAATCTTCATCTCATCGCAGTTCGCACAAGCGAGTCTTGTAAACCCGAACTTCTTATCAGGCAGCACAATGCATGGCACGTCCATGTTGATGCATTTGTCGCATTTGCGGGGATGGTAGCGAACGGAATGCTGGAATATGTGAGGGCATATTACTGAAATGCGATGGTCTGCTTACCTCTACCGAAGTAGCAACTGTAGCATCTAGGCCCCATCCGGCAGGCTAGATGAACCCAAATAAGACGGTAACCCCATCTACATGAACAACTTACCCTAGTTTCTGCATCCCAAAAACCTCTGTCGTCCACAAAGTCGGATGGAGGCATGTCCTGTTCGATTGACAGCATGACTGGCCTTCACCGACGACCCCCTCTGCTGCAAAAATGCAAATTAGCAACATACAGAGAAATGCTCTCAGAGTCACCTTAACATGAATGGTACCGGTGGCATTCGTCTCCTCTTCATCCGACTCAAACTTCCTCTTTCGTTTCGGGACTGGTTTCCGGGACGCTCGGCGGGGTTCGGGTTCGCTGTCGTCCATTTTCCTTTTCTGCTGGTTACCGGTAGGTGGGAATATCTGCCGTGCCGTTCTGATATTCCCCTTGTTTTGTCCGACGGTCACGGGACGTATTGAAACCTGTGGTGGCAGTTCCGGTATGACCATGGGCGTTATGGTACTTCGGACACCTGACATCATGGGTTCCACGCCCGGTGCAGCGGGGGATGGCGGCTCAGATGTCATCAGTTGCATCTCCGGGACGACATGGAGCGGTTTCACCTCCGGGACGACAAGGAGCGGTTTCACCTCCGGGACGACATGGAGCAATTGAATGAGCTGTGGGGCCATTGATGTGACAAGCTGTTGAGGTGTAGAGGCTTCCACGACGGTCCCTATCGTTGAATGAGGCTCCAGCGGGACAGCGGATGACGGCATGCTGGATTCTGGTTCTGCGTCGGGATACGCAAGATAGGGACGATAGCCTACAGTCTTATGGAACAGCGGGTGTGTCTTGATGCGCGGGTCGTTGTCCATCACGGAGTTCCAGTCAGGGCAATGATACAAATCTCCCGGCTTTTGAATGCTGCCGTACTACAGCTGCAAACGACAGCAGCTGAGGGGAGAACGATGTGGCGTTTCCCCCGTAAAGCTTCAAATCTTTAGCCTGCGACAAATTGAGTTGTTTGTCTACAAAAATACATTGACAGTTGTAGGCAGCGAAGCTTACCACCCGTTTAGCGATCTCATCTGAGATTATCAACGCGGCTGGGTCACTTTCCTTTAATTTCATACAACGCTTCATCAGCAGTTGTACAACCTCAAGCGTGGTGTCGAAGGCTTTGTTTGCAATTTCCGAAGGTGTCATTCTCAGTATATACAAACTGCAGTGAGTAATTGACGATGGTATACGACAAGAAAGATGGGTCCAATGATTTTTTTTTATCAAGTCTCGGGACTTATACCGATACGTCGGTCATGGGTTTTTCCGAGAACGCATTTTGGCAAGGCTCAACGTGGTTGGGTCAATATAATTATGATGTAATACAACTTCTTCAGCGATCGTTATCCCACGCATTCGGTTGCCACGGCTGGGTTGTCCAAATATGGAAGCATATTATTTGCATGGTAAGCCTTCCCCGACTTCCTTATTTCAAACTGACACATTCATGGTAGGCAAACGTGTTTGTTTTACCATGACCGCGTGTTCGAATTCCGATGACTCGGTGCAAATGCTTCATATAGGCTTCTTAATTGCCATAGTAGCTATGATTGTTCTCTGACTCCAACAGTTCCGACACAGATCGAGTCTTCGGATACAGCTCAATGCCAATGGGAATGGTCACCATGCTCGGTGGCGTGGATAAGTGCCATCATGATCTTATGCATTCCACCCAAGTTGGTACTGCCAAGATTGAACGGTAAGTCGGCCTGCGACTCTTCAAATCCGGGCGTGGTAGGAACTCCCACGCAGGATATAAATCGGCAGAGCTGCGTTCTGCCTTCGATATTGTTGAAGATATCTTTTCCCTTGACATGGTTCACGGACATGACATTACAACAACGGCTGCTTCACTAGCTAACGGATATGCAAATTCTGAATCATTTTCTGACATTGATATTTCAGAGGAGAGCTTAGTAGGACCGTTTAACCGTACAAATGAAGATTCACAGCCGGATGCAGGTGATCGCACACAACTCGGATAGAACTAACTAGCTGTAGAGAAACGCATGATATCACCGAGACATCGGATCCTTGTGACAGATGATGGGATGAGTCTGTGGATGCTGAGAATATCGCTTCGGGGACGTCTGTGAGTGAAACAGAAAGACCGTACAACTGTCCAATGGAGGGGCCCCTGTACAATGCCCAATTTCCGGAAGGGGCAGACAATCTGTAAGCCTCTGGATAGGGTGAGCACCTCACGTGAAGACCCTCGCGGTTGCGGATCGGACGTATCGACAAACACCAAAGCTATACCCACCGACAAGGATGCCCATATGACTAAATGGGAGTGTCGACGGACAATGGATCGGTGTCCATCACTGCACTGGAAGATCCTTGTGATTGTGCACGGGGCGACTGGACGGATACCGGCGGTGCATCCATGGACTCTGACTTGCAAAATACTTACCAGTGACATTTATTTACCAGATGCAATGGAGATATTGGTGATACAATAATGAATCAGACCTTCGAGCGTGACCCACTTCCAGCACCCGCATGTATGGTGAACCGGCGCTGTTCGGTTCATATGCGGAACGGTGGGACAGGGTACGGAACGTTGTGTGGATGTGCTTCAAATATACCATTTGCTGGGCATTCAGCGCCGCATAATGGAACCTCTGGATGCCATGATCGCAAATTTTCAGGAGGGTCGTCAGCAAGAGTAAGAAGACAACACTGAATTTCAGGAATAGTGCGGAAGTGGATTGTTGATTCATATTAAGAATGGCCTAGTAACACTCAGATTTATGGGGGCCTCCAATGGCATATCAATGTTTGTCCAGCTCACACATGTTGAGTCGCCAATCAGCCTGCCACGGATATGTTCGAGGCGCAGTTATGGAAGGTATAATGTGTGCTACCTAAATAATCCACCGGACTCTACCGATCAGCTTCCGTAAGACTAACACAGAGGTAATAAGAGCCAGCTGTTTCCGGGAATACATCACGCAGTACTGTTACATGGATTACAGCGGGCAGTATCACGGAAGAAATGCAGGTAACGCTTAGTATGGGCATCAGAAAAATGGGGACACATCTAACTGGAGATTTTAATTATAAAGTTGGCTATTTGCAAATGCCGGATAAAATTGCAAAGTAGAATATATGAATTTACCAATCCAGCTGCAACTCATCACGGGAGAGCTTTGACATTGATTACGACATTGGAACATAGACTCAACACACATGAACATCTGCCCTGTGCACCGAGTTAGCCCTCGAACGCCTTGTCAGTGAGGACATCACACTCCGGGAAAGTCTGTCCTATGACATCGTGAAAGCCATCGCAATGCTCCAACACGAGAAGACTGTCCCTCCGGAGAAACCATAGGTGAAATGAAGAATGGCATGGGTGCATGGGCGTTTGGTTGAAAGGCGCATACAACAATAGTCGAACCACTCATAGAGAAACTACTGTTACATCCGTTCCATATGCTGTTATTGCCCATCGCTTCACCGGTGGTTCATTGCAAATAATCTATCCCAGCTATTGGTGGACAAATTCTTGAACACAAATCTATAGGACAAATGTGGAACCGCTGTTGGACACAATACTGTAACTCCTGGTCCACATTGTTGCGTCCACAAGCCACATGTTTCAAGAAATCCTTGGACACAAATCTATAGGACAATGATGAAACCGCTGTGGAACAATACTGTAACTCCCGGTCCACATTTTTGCGTCCACAAGCCACAAGTCTCCAGAAATACCCACAACCGGATCACATCCAGACTTGTCAGAATTTCACAAAGTCAGCTTTGATATCCACCGCATTCATCTTCCTCACTACCATATTTTTGCTGCCAGAAAGAATCATGACTGTACCTCCTGAGCAAGCTAACCAAGCCTTGGAAATCACATTAGCCACCTTGCAATCGCTTATGAAGCGTTGCATCAAGGTAAAGGAGGGCGATCCCGAAGCCTTGAGGTTATCGGATGAGATCGCCAGGCACGTGGTAAGTGTTCCTAACATTGCTCTTAAAATTGTCTTCGCGAAACTAATACATTTGACACAGGCCAAGGACTTGAAAATGTATGGCGGGAGCGCCACCTCATTCTCGCCGCAGCTGCTTTCCTTTGCTGCTGTGGTGAGAGAGAACTCAAAGGGCGGCGCCTTCGAGAGTGTCCCAGACTGGACCTCCGTTACAAACGACGACCCGCGCATCAAGAGCCACCCGCGCTTCGACAAGACCATTGATTATCTCTCCCCTTCACTCGACGATCTTTCCACTAATCCAGCAACGGCTAATCCCCCTACCACCCTCACAACACCAACAACCATCACACTGCCATCGGCCTCAACATCCATGCCATCCCTCATGGAGTCCGATGTCCTTGTTGAGCCCGAAGCGGAAACGAACGGATCATCGGGCCTTCAGAAGGGAGAGGCCGAGGACCATCCCATCCCCATCGACACTCCCACATCTCCGCCGGCAAAATACAATCTTTTCGTACCAGGCACCAAGAAGAGAAAGCCCGCCGCAGAAGATACGGATGAGGCCGTTGTCGTTCCCACCAACAAATCGCCTTCCCCTTCTGAAGAGCCGGTGAAGAAAAAGAAGAAGGTTGAGTCCCAACCCATTGCCAGGCCTGCAGTGTGGGGCTCGGATGCTGATATTGCTACTCCATGGAAGGTATGTCTTTTCTGCATCTTGATGATAGCAAGCTGACAAATTTAAAGCATTCCGTTCGCTACCACCCCTGGCAGTGCGACAAATGCGTCAAATTAGACATTGCCTGCGTCGTCCTGCCGGACAAGAAATTTGGATTCACGCGCCTCGCCTGTGAAAATTGCGACAGCATGAAGATTTCGTGCGCGATCGACGGTGTTGGTGTCCGTCAGAGGTTGCAAGCGAAAGCGGCGAAAGCATCCGCTGACCCGTCCCAACAACCAAAGCCCTCGAAATCCCGGGCTATCTCTAAGAAACCCATGACGCGTGTTTCTCGCTCTCAACGGAGCATCGCTAAACGTGAAGGTATGTCTTCCCATTGTTTCGGAACAATTTGAGCTCATGTAGATTCTGCAGAGAAAAAGCCGGATGTCCTTCCGGGTCGGGCGCAAATGCAGCCTGAACATGTGCAACCGCCCGCTCCCAGTAACTTGCCCGACCCAGAGCCCACTGCAAGAGAAATCTTACAGGGCATCCAGGACCTCGGCAGGCGATTGGATCTCCTCGCCGCCAATGAGCGGGTGGACACATTGGAGGTGAGAGTGGGTTCGGTAGAGACAAACGTGCTTAAGCGGTTGGACGAGTTGGAGCAACGGCTCAATGCATCTGATGCCCGTTGGAGATCTTTGGAAACCCTCGGCTAAATGGAACATTTACATACAGACCAAGTATATAGAATGCATCCAATGGACTCCCTTATGTACTGTAGATACTCCACAGGAGTTTGTACTATTATATTATTGCATGCTCAGCCTGGTGCTGCATGTTCATCCGAGTTCAAATGATTGAGTCCAAGCACATTTTTTATACAATGCAGCCATTGTCATTCCTATCTTCCTTAGCAATAGTGACAGAACAATGTTCCTCATGTCGATCCGATGTTCGGTGATATATTTGTTGAATATCATGGGTTCCACGAATGCACCGAGGGTTTGTGCACGGGCATCAATCGGAGGAAATGCACAATTTGTACAGGACATTCATATGACATGTACCTCTTGACCAATAGGTCGTATCTGAGCATACATAAATTGTATCGACATTCGGGTATGCTAACGGTAAGTGCATCCGGAATACAGTCGACGAGGGCGTGGGCCTCACAAGAAGTGGATCCTGTTGGTTGCGCATATGGCCGTGATATCATATGGCGCCGGCGCATATTGATCCGATACTATCTTGAATCATACCCGGAGGGTGCACCCGGAAGTTATTGTTGATGCCAATGGATGCCGGCCAGAAAGATATACTATATAGTTGTATCTAAGCGGCGGCCAGGCATTATACCAGCCACCGACTTGTGTTCCGGAATTCAAATTCCCAAACCATCCTGCGACCCGAATCAAATGCATGCATGCTTACTTGAAACACAATACTAACTTTGCGCTTCCCGTCCTCAATTCCGATGTTGAATCCATCTATATTGCGCTTAACGGTGGCTTTTTGGGCCCAGTCATAACCGACTACTGTGACACTTCACAGAATATTATCCTTAAAGTGTTGGATACATCCGGGAAACCTGGAGGTCCATGATGTACTCATCTCCGGATGGACAACAGCAATCTGATGGCATCTGCCTCTGTGGTGGACCAGAATTCATGTGGGCGGCAATATATGACACTACCGTGGTTCCGGTATCTCGATATGAAAATCCCAGTTGCATTCGGAGTCAATTTTCGGGGAATGCAGGTCATACGATCAATTGGCTACGTGAAAGGCATCATGTGGGCAGAAGCACTTTTACCAGTCACACATTTCTACACGGACGCATTCACTAAGAAAATGCCTCACATGCCTAGCCAAGCTTTGAGAGGCGAATTCCAACCCTCCGGCCAATTCTTATTTCATATCCGAGTGCATGACGTTGTTCATTGACTCATAAAATTCAGAAGAAGAAGAAACAAGCAATACGGTCCATTTACCGCATTTGTGATCCACAATCCCCACAATTTATACAGTGACATGGTTTGGTATATTTAGCATTGAGAATTGGGTCACAGCTTACGATTACTTGTGGCCACATTACCGAATTGAGCCTGTTATTGTAAATCACCACAGTAATGCTTTTGAAACTCCGACTGTATAGTTAAACGCTGTCCGAGCTGACTTTATCGATCACCTCACCTCAACCAGTCATGACTGATCAATACCAAATGCTCCATAAGTCTGCTGCCAGTAAATTTTCTATCTGGGATGCAGCGGAAATATTTGAATACGCCACTTCCCGATTCACCGCAATCCATATCGCATTAATGGAAGATCAGAACCACCACTCCAGCTCATATCAGCATACTTTCGTGAGACACATTGTCTGGGAAGCGGAGGTGAGTTTATGCAACCGTCCCTGGAGAGATTTCCTGATAGCCAACGGTAGCACTTTGTATTTCCCTTCGTGAACATCTGCGCTGCCATGAATATCAACACAACGCTGCCGGTATATCTGAATGAGGTGCTCTTTCTCATCACATCTTTCCAGACTGAGCCACACTACGATCACAAAAAACTATTCGCCGCATTCAAAGCATGCCCCCATGAGTCGGCAAACCATCCAGTCGACATCAATCGGGTGGTCCGTGACTACCGCCACGCTTGGTGGAAGCACAGGTTCGACCTTGCGCCGTTCGATATGCCTCTTCGGATGTCCGTTGCTACGGTGAAGGAACTGGTGACCGACCACTTTGCTCAGCGGGTGAGTGATTCTTTTAAGATTATGATGTCATCAGTATTTCTTACTACATGCATGCATTAGCCTAAAATGGCCAGCATGGTGCCGAGATCAACTACGCACACCCGCAGCGATGATCCACTCCTGCAACAGCTCCAAGTTCTCTGGGCTGAAGTTTCCCATCTTGGTATGGAACTCAGCCGACTGCTTGTTGCTAAACTAGATGCCACAAGCGAGGCTGTGGCTGCATTAGATCGTCTAGAGGATCCTGTAGATGAACTTCGCGAGGCAATGGTAGCCTCCCACGCGGCAGTTGCAATGTTGCAAGGGCATTACGACAATGGCAGGCTGGGAGGACCTTCATCAGTTGAACCCTTTCCCCGTCTTCAATCACTTCCGCATTGATGTTATGTACATTCGCCGAGGAACAGCTTCTCCATTAGCATAATTTAATGTAGTGTCTGTCTTCTATATGTAAATATTATGCCAACCTCAATCCCATCCGGTTATATGAAACATTTGTGGGTTTCATCGATTACGTTCATACGGTTGCATCTCGGCTCTCTGTGTTACATCACGAAGCAGGCTTCCGCATGGCAAATTGTATTTAAGATGCACGTTTTCTTGAAGAAGGCGTGCGTCTCCCTTTCCATAATGATATCTCCTGAGTACTGGGAATCCTACCATGAACAGCTTGGTGCCCTTGACCTCGCCTGTCATCCGACATCGTTCATCCCCCGGGATTGGGCCCTAAATGTCGCCGATATAGCAAGTGAATGGGTCGAGCAGCAGTTTGCAGCTCATATCGCAGGCAGACCGCTGGTGCCCGCGCCGCCCGAACTTGACCCGGAAACTATGGTTGCTTGCGGACAGTTGGCCTCCGTGCTGGCAGAGGCCTATCAACACCCCGGTAAGGTTGAACCTTACATGTTTGGTGTCGGCCCATTGAAATGTTTGTAGTAAAACTGGACATCGACGTTATCCGGTACAACGAGGCGTTGGCCAAACGGGAGTCGGGATTGAACGATTCTCACGAAGAAGCATTATTGGCGAAGTTCCCCCCCGCTGAGCGCCTGGTATTGGAACGCCCGTCGGTTGTGCTCGATGCCGGCTACCGGATAATACTCTGGTACCTTCCGGGTGCGCTTAACTCGTCGGTGCAGGTCGGTGCGGGATTGCACTAAAATTGTAAAATGCTAATGGGGAGGACGGACGTAGCGTGATATGTACACCGCCACAATCGGGATGGGCAATCTATTGAAACAGAGCATCACCAGTGGGAAGACGTCCACGGGACAGGCGAGTAAATGGAGAACCCATTCAACCAATTTTTATGCCTCCAAAGAGCCGCAGTTAAAGCCCGGGTGCATCAATATATCGCCTTGCTGGTTTCAACAGGGACACGAGGTGTGTTTGAATTTTCTGTACTCAGGAAATGTCTAACATCAAACAGTGTCATGGGCCCCCGCCTGTGAACCCGGAGGATGGCTTTATGCCCGAAGTCTCCGCTACCTTGAAGGGGGACAGGAGCCTGTCGGTCATCCAAGACATGCAACGTCCGGGTCTCATATCTTCGGCCTCCCTTCGTGTCATGCACCCGCAGTTATACCGTGCATCTATATCCACTCATATAGAGCTTGGGAATTGGGCGGCCAAGCAAGGACTGGATGATATGTGCAGGTTCCTTCAACATTGGACATCCGTCTACACGGGAGCGGCAATCATGTGTAACAGGAAGTCGCCGAGCCATCGAGATCCGAAATGCCCCCCGGAAGGTTTCGATATTCTTACTTGCATAGGCGGCTATGGCCATGGTGTCATGCAATTGACCAACTTGGGCATCGAGCTCGCTTATGATCCGGGTGTCATGGTTAGCTATTCTGGCCGGCTCGTGAGGCACGGCGTTCAGGTTGCCGAGGGAGACAGAATCGTCTGGGCTTGGTTTATGCGCGATAGCGTGCATAATTATGCTCGGACCCCACGTACGGAGTATGCAAAATACAATCTCGCAGACTTCGCGATATACCACCTAGCCCAATACAATCAGGCAGATTTCATTCGGTACCGCACGTTGTAGTTCATTTTCGGTTGATGTCGCCTTCAAACAGCCGGATAATATGGCTCATGTGACATTTTGTGTCGCATCTTCTCGATTCTTAAATGCACCATCGGTCTTATCCGAGAAATAGGGCTTCGTCATATGCAGATGGACATAATGATACTTCATGTAATTTTATAGGGTTGTCTTTGTTTTCCTTAGGCAAATTTTCACTTTGATTTCACTTTAATGATGCATTCGGTAGATGATCCTCCGATTGCACTTGCCGGTTCACTACAACAAGATGTTCTACCGGCCAGAGTACAAACATGTGCATCAATGTCCGGACGGGGATGATTTCCACACTCTTCAGAAGCTGACGGCATTGTCCATAGTGTCGGATGAGTCGCTCATGAGATTCCGGTGCGAATTACTATTTTGTCGACTTTCGGTGCACTACCTTGGAGATCGGTATGTCCAATTTCGTGCACTTGTCGCACTGCCGATGGTGGTAACGAACGGAGCGCTTGAAATATGTTTGCTGTGGACGCCTGTGGATGTATGTCTTGACGGACTTACCGCCCACGGCGTTGCGATCTGAGCATTCCGACCCTACCCTGCAGGCTAAAAACAACCATCGGCATCAATGTTGCGCAGAGAGCCGATAACGCAGCCTTGTCCCTTCCTCCCGGAAATTCTTGTCATCGGCCACAGAGTCGATACCCGCCAGATTCAAATCCTTGTCAGACGCTGCCTTATTCGGCGGGAGCACGTTTGAGTTCAGGATTCATATACAAACATCATCGACCATACCTTTACCGAGATAGTTCCTGTGTGAACTTTGTCCTCGTCAGTCGATTAGAACTTCTTCTTCTTCTTCTTCTGTCTGGACCTCGAGAGTGGAGGTGACTTGGGTCCATCTATGATAACCGCCACATCCGAATCTTCATCGCCAGCCTTCCTCCTGTTGCTGCTGCTGGCCTGCGGTGCTGCATTTCCGGTTATCTTCTTGACACCCGCCATAAAGATATTGTGTTTGAGGCAGAGGTGGGCGGAGTTTGTTGACATGCAGTCGTTGAGTACGGTGCTGGTGATACAAGCTCGGGTTCCGTCGCCCTCGCACCAATCGGATTGTTGAGGGATTTGCCGCACGGAAGAGCCGACGGTATAACGGGGTCCGTTGCTGATAGGACAGCGGTCGCAGATGCTGCATGTTGAGGATCCAACTCGGTAGGGAATTGTTGTATGAGAAAATGTCTTACAGTGGCTGGTTTTTATGCGAACCCATCGGTTGTGGGCATTCCGACAACTGTGAAGAGTCAGATATTTTGACCGGGCGTAGGCTATTGTAGAGAACAAGCACGGCTACCATAGACTAAAATCAGTTGATCTACATCAGGATTGGCCTATCCACCATTCCTTCTGGAAGATCCTGTACGGCTGTCCGGGTATCCGACGCACCATTTATGGGTGAGAAGTGGATTAAGGCCTACTGTGCCTATGGAAATTTCGTCATAGACCGTTTTACCCCTTTCCGGGTATCCGATGAACCATTCATAGGTGAGAAGTGGATTAAGGCTTGTTGCGGTGCATGCAAGATACATCAAACTACCTCTGTATCCGACTCACCATTTATGGGTGAGAAGTGGATTAAGGCCTACTTTGCCTAGGAAATTTCGTCATACACCGTTTAACCCTTTCCGGGTATCCTATGCACCATTTATGGGTGAGAAGTGGATTAAGGCTTGTTGCGGTGCATGCAAGATAAATAAACTACCTCTGATTGCGACAACAGATGCACCGCAACAGGCCTTAATCCACTTCTCACCCATAAATGGTGCACCGGATACCCGGAAAGGGATGAAATTTCCCAGGCACCGTGAATTCGCACAGAAAATTAATTTCCCGGTCACGGGGTGTTGCTGCTTGGCTTTGTAAGTGCATTGTTGCTGCAGCAGTGAGCACTCGCTGCAGTCACCGCTCGAGACGCCATCACTCTTGTTGTCAACGTGAGATGTCTGGACCGCTCCGCCTGAAACTCAACTGTATTGTCTTGGGCGATAATCCTCGCCGTATTTTCCCGGTCGACATTGAGCAGACGGAGATTGTCGGCGACCTCAAAGAGGTCATCAAAGACAAGAAAAGGCCAGAGTTTGATCATGTTGCCACTGACCGTCTTGAGCTATGGAAGGTGAGTGATCTGATGCCTAGGATCGGATGTTGATAATCTGATATTTTGGAAGGTCGACCTGCCCATCGACGAGATGATTGAGCACAATCTCAACAATCTTACACTTGACCCAACGAAATCGCTATCACCTGTGGATGAAATTGTTGAGATTTTTCCCAATGCTCCTCCGCGCAAGTATCTGCATATTATTGTCCAATGCCCGCCTGCCGGTGAGTTGTCCTTCGATATTGCCACCCTTTCCTCACTGATCATGGTCCGATTTAGTGTCTTCTGGACCGCTCCACCTGAAACTTAACTGCATTGTCTTCGGCGATGATCCTCGCCATATTTTCCCAGTCGACGTTGAGCGGACGAAGACTGTCGGTGACCTCAAAAATGTTATCAAGGTCGCCAAGAAGCCAGAGTTTGACCATGTTGCCGCCGACCGTCTTGACCTATGGAAGGTGAGTGATCTGATGCCTACGGTTGAATGTTAATAATATGATATTTTGGAAGGTCAAGATCAATTTGAACGATATAGACTTACGGAACGCGATCCTGGACAGAGGCGTCGAGCTGCGCCCGTTAACCGAACTGTCCGATGTTTTTGCGGATGGAATAGAGCGCGGATGTATTCATATCGTCGTACAACATCCTGCCGTTGCACGACACATTCCAGCCGTTGATCGGCGAATCGCGTATCTCAAGAAGGGCGCGGGTAGTCCGTCGGCCGGTGCAAAACCATCTGCATTCTCAACCAAGCAGGACCAGCAAGAGTACCTTTGCAACCGTCCTCGCAGAGCCGCGGACCCTGTTCCCATTACTCTTCTCGAGCCTATCTTCGCCGAGTTCGTGGATGATTGTCAAAAGTATGAACCAACTGTCCACGATAACGACTTTGTTTTGCAACTTTCGGAAAAGATGGCCTCCTTCTATCCCAATGAGCTCGCCCGGATGAATACATTCCGGCAAGTGCTCCGGGACTACGGTATTATACTCAATGCTTCTATGGTTGGCTCGACCGGATGTACGACGGATGGACATATTTTGTCTACCAACGGACAGTTTGTGCTGATGATAATTGAGGGGAAGAACGAGATCGGAAGTGGCGCTGCCGAACCATTTATGGAGGCGATGCTGTACTACCGCAAGTTTATGGAAGACTCGAAGGTTGAGATAGCGAGGCTCCGGTCTTTCATTCCATGCATCCATATCATTGTCTTCGGTTAGTTCATTTCACCAGATTAATTCCCAAAGCTTTTTATTGATCACAACTAGGGGCATGCATCGGCTTTTCAGGCTCTGTTTTTACTGAAAAAGTCCAGTCCGATGTCCTGATCCCTATCATTCCTCTGTTTTGGCATTCAACAGACCTCCACATGCAAGTGATGGCAGCTCGTACTTTCGGGGCTCTCAAAATTGCCGTCGAGAAACTTACAAAACTATACTCCCGTCCAATCCCGTCCCTCGAACCCGAAGATCCATATCTTAAATGTCCTTACCCTCGGAGTTATACCAATTCCACCGGTTTCATTCAGGAATTCTCGTATGATGAGACTCAAATCCTCAGGGATCGGCTTATTTTCTTCGGGGAAACCGTCGGCGATGCGGCCGGGATCAAGATATGCATCAAGTTTGTCCGGCACTATTCCCCTCAGGCTCACGAATTCTGTGCCAGCAAGGGGAACGCCCCCAAACTTATCGCCTACAATTCTTTACCCGGCGGCTGGAATATGGTGATTATGGATGCCCTTGATATTGATAATGATTGCCTTCCGCAACGACCTGGCTCATATCGACTGCTCAGTGAGATAGGTGTTTTGGACCGTCAGCCGCTGAAGGAGACCATCACCTCTCTCATCCGGGAGTTACACAATCACAATGACGGCTACGTGCATGGCAACCTTCGAGATACCAATTTCGTTGTGCGGGACGACAAACACTTCATGCTGCTCGATTTCGATTGGGCCGGACCGATCCAGAAGACGCATTATCCTATGTATGTCAATCGGAAGGATATTCGACGACCTGACGGTGTGTGGGATGGGCAGAAGATTGTGGCGGAGCATGACTTGGATATGCTGAGTTATCTATTTCATCCTGAGCAAGATGTTCGGGAGCCAGCCGCAAAGCGCCGCCGTATATTTAGTGAAGGGTCGCTGATGGTCATTTGATTCATTTATTATTTGTTGCATGACCAATTTGGTGAATACCAGTCTGTTTTTTTCATCATAAAGCTATCATACAATGACTTCGGGAGAATGGCGACATAGATTAGTATCTGTTGTATTGTAGCTAGCCAATCTGATTATTGCCGATGACACACGCCTTCTCACAAGTCTCAGTGAGGATTCTACTGTACATAAATGGAATACATGACCTCATCCTCAGTGGAGGCAGCGATACAATGATCTCAGAGTGGACAGTATCTCACAGCCGTACTGGATGTTCCGGAAGCAATGGTAGTTCGGTCTGTCCCGATGTAGATCCCAAGGGTTTAGCCTATGGTAGCCGTGGTGGCTCTCTACAATAGTCTTGCGCTTGGTTCACGCATATGACTCTCCCCAGTTGTCGGAATGCCCATAACCGACGGGTTCGTATAGAACCCGGCTGCTGTCAGACATTGTCCCATACAACGATCTCCCATCCGTACATCTCGTGAATTGCAACGGACCCCGTTATGCCGCCAGATCTTCCATCCGGCAAATCCCTCGACAATCCGATTGCTGCGAGGGCGACGGAACCAGAGCTTGTATCATCAGCACCGGACCCAACGGCTGTGGGTGTGCAAACTCTGCCACACCTCCTAGTCATACATTCAATTGCAATATCTGTTTACGGCGAGACCCGGAACCACCCGCCGAACTGGTTCACTTGGCCTACCGGCACATGTTTTGCCAATATAGTCTCGAGACCCATTGCGACCTATTTTCTTCGGTTCCGATGGCTTGCAGGTATTACAGCCCGTCCGTTGCCCAATATGTGTAAGATATCTGGTTCCATGGTTTTGGGCCATCTGTCGGGCCCGGGTGCCACAGCATGCCGATCATAAGACAGGATGCACCTGTCAGCCGGTCACGAATACACCGACGCACCCATCATTGTTGGGGACATTTTGGACTGTTAGGTCCACATCTGGGCCCATCCAGCGCAACTGGGTATAACGACCTGCGCATCGTTGGCAGCAATGTGGTCGAGCTCTGGGGCCATCAGCCTGTCTCGGATATGAAGGCCCCACCGTCGTCGATGAGGACCTAGGGATCGGTTCCGTTTACATCTGGGCCATCCGCCAGGTACCGTGTACGATAGCCTGCCCACCGTTGTCTGAGATGAGGTTAAGTTCTGGGCCCATCCGCCGACATCTGCCTGTACCTCGCATGACAGGCTGTCATTCCCCGTCCGAGAATATTATTCCAAGCACATTCAGCCCATCTGCCACCATTTTCGCGAGCAAAGATGCATGTTCTGGGCCCATCTATAGCCTTCCCCGAGATTCCACCCGAAGTTATTTTACCTATGGGGGACTGGGCCCGTCCGTTGCCTTTTCCGGGTCCAAACACAGAGGACTGGGCCCATCCGTCACTGTTTCCGAGACCATCTGCATATGCACCGGGCCGATTTACATTTTCCGAGATCACATCCACGGTGGGCCCATCTGTCGTGATGGTCAAGATTACATGCAATCCGCTGGGCCTATCCTCGGGCATTGCAAACCCACCCGGTCGCACATTTTGGGCCCATCTGTTGACCTTTTTCCCGAGCATACCTACAAGCTGGGCCCGCCCATATGTAAGCATACATGCGGGCTGGGCCCATCCGTCAAAATTTGTGCAAATCCGCCTGGCCCATTCTCGCCCTCAACCATGCAGGCCCACCCGGTCACACATTTTGGGCCCACTCATCTCTATGGACCTCAGCCCAACCGCCAGTGTCGGTGTGGAAGTTGGGATCAGTCATCTGCACCGGCTGCTCGGGGCGCAGACGCTCCGGCCACTCCCGTTCGGCGGACCGATTCGATCGCATCTTATCTGCCATATCGGATAAGTTGATCTGAGTCGTGTCCGAATGATACCAGATCTATGTTGTGGTATAAATTCGGTAGCTGAACCAACCGACTGCGCATGCAAGTCAATGCAAAGCGATGTTGTGTTGGCCTGGAGCATCCAAACTGGCATTGATGTATGTATCCGGAAGATCCGCCATCAAGGACCGGATGTGCGAGTAACATGATTGCGCACACAAGGGAATGCAACTGTTTATATGTGCAATATGTCTGGGACACCATACATATGCGAATCCGGTATTCACAGCATTGGTCTAGTGCCGTCCGCCGGGCTCAGGTGCCAGCCTACCCATCATTAACGGAGGACGTGCCTGTCAGCCAGTCTCGGATACAAAGTTGGTGAGGACCCTTGGGGATGGTCATGTTCACATCTGGGCCCATCCGCCAATACCGGGTACAACTGCCTGCCCATCATTGGCAGGCCCCATCCGCTGGTCTCGGGTCGTCGGCCCAACCATCATTGATGAGGACCTTGGAATGGTTGGGTCCATATCTGGGCCCATCCGCCTGTACCGGGTATAATGGGCCGTCATTCCCTGTCCAAGAATACTTTTGGGCCCAGCCGGTACCCCAGCAGCACACATTCTGGCCCAATATATTAATGTATGCTTCTTCTGTATCCCTCCCGGTCCTTCCATGGCTGACCCACTGGTCTATTGACTATTACCCCAGCCTACAAATGATACTGCATGATGTTGGCCCACCCGTCACTACCGAGGATTGCCTTCATGGCTGGCCCGCCCGCCCTATCTCCGGTCCTTCCATGGCTGGCCCACTGGTCTATTGACTATTACCCCAGCCTACAAATGATACTGCATGATGTTGGCCCACCCGTCACTACCGAGGATTGCCTTCATGGCTGGCCCGCCCGCCCTATCTGCATATGGGCCGACCTAGGATGGCCCGTCTAACTGGGGAGATTATCAACCTTTGGCTGTCCGACTAAGTCGGAAATAAAGTACTGAATTATGTGCACAGGTGAGACTCTACTGTGCTGGATCTGTTCAACTATTCTACACTCATAAAATGTTTCAAGGCTGCCAATGCTGGCAAATTTCTGTCTATTATTCTTGCTCTCATCCACCGGCCGGGCCTCAAAAAGATTCAAGGATTGGTTACTAACACTGGTAAGTTTTGTTTCAATCCTTTTTGGTGCGACTCATCCACTAGCCAGGCCTCAAAAAGATTCAAGGATTGGTTCCAAACGCTGGCAACTTTCAGTCCACTGGCCAGGCCTCAAAAAGATTCGAGGATTGGTTCCTAACACTGGTAAGTTTTGATCCTTTTTGTCATAACTCATCCACTGGCCAGGCCTCAAAAAGATTCGAGGATTGGTTCCTAACACTGATAAGTTTTGATCCTTTCTGTCATAACTCATCCACTGGCCAGGCCTCAAAAAGATTCGAGGATTGGTTCCTAACACTGGTAAGTTTTGATCCTTTTTGTCATAACTCACCCACTGGCCAGGCCTCAAAAAGATTCAAGGATTGGTTGCTAACACTGGCACCTTTCAATCCACCGGCCTGGCCTCAAAAAGATTCGAGGATTGGTTCCTAACACTGGTAAGTTTGAATCCTTTTTGTCACAACTCATCCACCAGCCGGGTCTTCTTATTTGCCCTTGTACTCTACTTGATTAGCACCTGCAATGTTGTAGTTGTCGCATCATGTCTAGATTTGATTGTATGGTACTAATATTTCTACAATACAAGAGAGTGTGTGTTTCGTCTGTATGTGTGAGTTTTGCGTGTAGAATAGTTGAACATTAGAACAAGCACCATAAGACTCAACTTGCAATTTACTTGAGTCTAGCTCATAATTTGATCGTTGTATGAGGTAGAACCCTGACATACATGCTCTGAATAATTAGCTACTGCTATACCATTGATTTTGAGTGAGACATGATTGGTGATCATCAGATATCAAGCAATTAGTAGTAAATCTCCCAAAGTCGACACGGCTACTTTCAACAACTTGTTCTAAACTTGGTTACTACTACATCATGGGCTGACCTCGGCTGTATCACACATCACAAGATAAAATTGAGGCTGCTCGTTCTTACCGCAAGAAATACTATGCAAAGTAAGCACTTGCTTTTCTGTTTTAACTACTGACATGTATCAGGAGATGCAGAAATAGTGCAATCATCAGCAAGAAGAACTGGCAAAAATCTTGCAAACAACACAACTGTCCGACCAACAATGATGTTGATTCCCAAAGCTGTAGCAGGTACAGCGTCCGCACAAGATCATCACAAAGGCACCCATGGTGAGCTGCACATTACTGATAGCTACTCAAACTTTACATTGAACTATCATTAGGCAGGAAGACCTCACAAGTGCCAAAGCTGCACTTACAGACATTATTGGTGGATCATCGCGAAGACTTTTAGATGGGCTGGTGAATGATCTTTGTCAGTCAGGTGATGCGGGAACATGCATGCATTCAATCAATGTATTACTAGGTGGTATGGAAGGCATTCAACAACGTCTCCGGCTACTTCATGGGATCATTTTGCAGGCTATGGGGACAGGAGAGGAGTTGCAGCGAGTATATTTGATATCCCATCAAGCATCTAGCCTCATCTTAGCACTGGAGGACTTGCTCATGCATGTCATGGTCAACCCTCACAATGTGCTGGAAGGTCATACACGCGGTGAGCTATTATACCAGACTATGTAAGGATCCTCTGCGCCCCGACCATAGCTCCAAAAGGAAATCTGTGAACCATCGTGCACAAATGCCAAATAAAGCCACACACCTAGGTGCTTACTTTCCCCTTCCAACTCGAACAGCCGCCTTACAACTACTTGTGATATCACTGTCTCGCAGTTATGATAATGTTAGTGATGCATCAATCATGTAATCTTCAATCCTGACACCGGTGATTGCAAGCACTAAAACTCTATCAAACGCTAGCCCCCGTTGGTCTAAGATGCTTCTAATCCATTCTACTTGCACCGAAACTCTATCAAATGCTAGTCCTCGTTGGTCTAAGACACTTCTACTGGAACCTCACATTTGCCGCTGCCAATTTGACTCATCGACGTTAACACTTGTGTTCCAGGGTGCTCGTTGGTCTAAGACACTTCTACTGGAACCTCACATTTGCCGCTGCCAATTTGACTCATCGACGTTAACACTTGTGTTCCAGGGTGCTCGTTGGTCTAAGACACTTCTACTGGAACCTCACATTTGCCGCTGCCAATTTGACTCATCAACGTTAACACTTGTGTTCCAGGGTGAGTGATTTGTCATATCAATGGAAGTGCTAGGTATTGAGCTAACCCAAAATTTTCCTCGCTGCCAGTCCATCTCTCCATATATGATCCCCTTTGGGTCAACATCACTACAATGCCCTACATGGCAGAGCCAGAGGAGTATGTGACTGTGTATGAGGGCAGTTTTGAGTTTGATGAGGCTGTCTATGCTATGGTGGATGAATGCTTTATTTTTTCATATCTAGGAATATTCTACAACATGCCTGCCAAGTGTGATCTAGAACCACCTTTCTACTGTGTTACCTATGGCCGCTACATTGGAGTTTTTCTGTCATATCTCTGGTGAGATTTCCATCTCATTTCCATTTTTATACTTAAACACCCACCTTAGGGATGATATAAAAACTGAACTCCAAGCCCCAGGCCATCATGCTCCTACCTACTTCGCTGTTTGGTCACTTTCTTGGGGAACAGAAAGTTCATCGTGCCATCTGGCATAGGCTCGCAGCCAGTAGATGACACTGTAAGTTTGATGTTGTATCGTTAGTAGCATTTGCTAACATTGCTCAGTCTATAGTCAGGACCGATTATGGGAGAATATATTTTAGAAGACAATCAGAGTAAGGAAGAGATATAAGGTTTTTTGTGAGGCTCATGGCATGCAGTCATTCAGTTAGAACACAATCACAATCAGGGTAAGGAAGAGATATAAGGTTTTTGTGAGGCCCATGGCATGTAGCCAGTATCTCAGGTATTCCGCTTTGGCTGAGGAAAAGAGCAATCAAATTTCTGGAGCATCCCTAGATAGAGATGAGTGTTTGGCTTCATCAACGCCCTTCGGCAAGTCACATGACATGTCAGGCTCGGAGAGCTGCATATGATTTCTGTTTGCTCGACACCATCTAAGAATGTCTATGGGTCCTGGTCCGTCTGAGGCAGGGCCACCACATCCAGTTCAGACTATCATATGTACTAAGGCAATGTCCTCTACCTTGAGGAACTCGCTAAAATGGATGAGAAAACCAAAGCTTAATTTCTATCGCACAGCGCCAGTAGTCCATTATTGCCAGCATACCCAATACCAAGTCAACAATGATGGCTCTGTCAGTTATACACAGAAGTGTTTTCTACCTCCTAAGAATGCTAAAGCAACCATCCCGGACCATTATATTGATCAAACTCATGGGGAATGAACTCTATGCAACTCAGACACCTTTTTTTCAATTCCAGAGCCACTTGATGATCTCCCACTCGAAGTATCATTAGATGTTTTAGGCCAACAAAGGAGAAAACAAACGGCAGGCGTACGTGCACTACAATGTTTCACATCATTTGACTTCCCCCTCACAATGTTTAATCAGGACCATCCTTTGTTGATGTGGCTGAATCACAGAGCGTTATTCCTTCAAGAAATGATCTGTCTTGAAGGAAGAGTCAGCATGCGGTTGTGCTTAGAGTGTAATGGTCCCAATCCAGAGTACAAGTGTCAGGACTGCTTTGGGTCAGAGCTTCATTGCTCAACTTGTATTTTGTCAGTCCATGCACACCACCTGCTTCACCGATTGCAGGTACGTCTTTGCATTTAATTGTGATAATAGACTTAATCTCAAATACAGAAGTGGAATGGTCAATTAGGGATTAGTGTGGGTATACCCATGGGTATCTGTGGTGATACCCCCACCCACACCCACCAAAAACCCACACCCACACTGGTGGGTGTGGGTTTATTCATGGGTACCAGGGATGGCTACCCATACCCATACCCATAGAGGGTATACCCATGGGTACGACATGAACAATTGGTACTACACACTTAGATATCTTAATGAATGTTGTAGTAGTACTGGAGACAAATATACTGCTAGTCTCACCTTGTTAATTGGCAGTCATTTGAGAGAGATAAAGCTAAATAAGAACCCAACACCAGTAAGTCTCTGAAAAATGCAACAATAAAAGTTGACATTATCCTTGTAATACTAGTTGAGACAAGTCTGTTGTGAGTCTTATTTTGTTAATCAGTAGTAATTTGAGCAAAATAAAAATACATATTGATGAGTTTGGCCAAACACAAGTTGTTATTATCATTACGTATCTTGATGAAAATTGTAGTGCTATGTAAGGTGAGTCTATGGCTAGTTTATCTTATCAATTAGTTGACATATCAGTAACATAAGGATTGAACACTACTGAACCAAAGTTCAAAGTTGTATTTCTATAGTCTACATGTAACATGATAGATGGAATCAACATACATAGATGACAAAGATAGTATTATTGAAAATGAAGTTGTTGGCTATTCAACCTAGGCATACCATTCACTGAGACCACTACTAGCATATTTGACAAAGTTGAATCACATATCACAGTGCAAAGATAATTTTTTTGCCTACATACCCACTGTGTGGGTGTGGGTAGGGGTGTGGGTATCCTAAGTGCCTACCCCCACCCATACCCCAGAGGTACCCACACCCACGACCCACGTGGGTTGAGGATACCCATGCTAATCCCTATGGTCAATACTTCGAGCGAATTTCTCTGAAAGCCCTGGGCCTCCGCATTCAGCTTGGTCACATCACTGGCCAGCAATGCGTCAATCCTCACTGTGCTTTTAATGACGATTTTGTCATTATCGACATGTTCGGTATACACGAAGTGTCACTTGACTTCTGTGGTTGTGCAATAGCCGAAAGTCATATGCAACAGCTACTTTGAATGTCATTATTTCCTTTGACAACCTCAGATCCAAAAACTGCTGCAACATTCCACGTTCTGGAGCAGTATCACCTGCTCTCATTTGAGTCAAAAATATCTGGCTATGAATTTTATCATGGACTTTGCCGGATGTCTGACAACACCGGTCTACTTCTCATTAAGGTAGGTTCAAAATTTCAAGTATCCTTATGGTCAGTAAAGCTTCTTTACAGGATCGATATGAGTCATTTATGCAGATGATTCGTGAATGGCGTCACCTGAAGATGCTCAAACGTTCAGGGCAAGGTCACAATCTGAAGGGTGTAGAAGCGACAGCTCAAGGTGAATGTGCTGTATTGTGCCCAGCTTGTCCACATCCAGGGAAGAACCTTCCAGATAATTGGAAAGATGCACCTCGACGGTGAGTTTTAGATAGCTTGAGTGGTATTATCGCTGATATAGATACTATTAGTTGGCTCTATGGATTGTTCCTTGCTATCGATGCAAACTTCCAGTTGAAACGCAAGGCTGTCTCGAATGACAGTGTGGATCCAAGCCTGAGTTCTGGGTGGGCCTATTTCATGGAGGATGAAGCTTACAAGGGCTTCTTGGACAGCAATTCGGACAATACCCAAGAGGTTGTTTTATTTAAATCTTCTTTTCGTGTATTAATGGTGTTCTACAGAAATCAACATGCTCAAGTCACAATGCTGTGAACATGGCAGACACAAAATCTAACTGCGGACTTACTGCCACAGGTTTAGGTACTGTCAACTGTGCCCGCCACAACATGAAATGGCCCAACGCTGTTGGAGATCTCCAAAAGGGTGAAAGGTAAATCTTGTTTTGCATTCAGACATTGGTGATCTAACGGTCTGTAGATATGTCAACATGGATTATTTATTCTTCTCAACACTGCGCCACACTGTAATCGACACTCTGAATGTATCTTATGATATCGCGTGCCAGTGGCACAAAAAATTATGGCACCGTATGAGCACATTTCCAGTCTCAATGCACCTCCTGCCCACTTTCAAAACTATCTCTTTTTTCATCCCAAAGTTCCACCTTCCTGCTCACATCAAGGAGTGTCAAACCTCATTCTCGTTCAATTTCAAGAGTGGGGTTGGTCGGACTGATGGAGAAGCACCCGAGTGTGGCTGGGCCAATATCAACCCCATCGCTTCAAGTACTAAAGAGATGGGTCCTGGTGCATGGCGAGACACCCTTGACGACTACTTTGGAGACTCAAATTGGAAAAAGGTAGTTAAACTTGGTTCATACATTTTCATTGAAACCATCCTTTATTGCAACTGGATACCTTAACCTCGACTACCCCGACACTCGATTGTGCAGATGCACCGTGCACCTTCTCTCCATCCACCAGTCGCCTCGATAATACATCAACCCCTTACTATGCTGAGGCAGTTTCGGTCTTGAAGAGCATATTTGGGCTGACCTCCTTTATTATCAGGTCATACTATGCTTCACAAGATGAAGGATGCCTTACCGGAGCGGCAGGATCATCACGAAGCCCTTGACGACCTTGAAGAAGGTTTGAGAGGTGAATATAGTGCCGCTCTCGCCCAGTGGAGAGAACATGTGGAGGCTTGGGAGCATGACCCTGCAAAGCCAAATCCTTTCGAACGAAGGGCAGAAAGTATGTATGGATCATCATCAGTCACTGTGTGCGGATCTTTCCATGCATCGTAGCTGTCACTATGGCTTCTGTGCGACTGGAACTGGCTAGGGATGACCAGAATGATATTCAAACAGGGACTTGCCTTGCGCTACATGAGGACTGTACTCCTAGTGTATTGATCAGTACCGGCTTAGAACTCGAGGAACAACAGTAAGTCCCCTGAGTGCTGCATATGAGATCTTTGTCTTACTTTTTTCTAGACGGCAAATGAAAGCTGACAGAGCCGGCCTCAGAGTTCATGCAACAGACAATCAAGAAGGGAAGATGCTTCAGCGGAATAACACTCTGCAATGCAGGATCGACACCTGGACTAAATTACAGGAACTATACATGCCATCGCTCACTGCACTATGTGTCAGCAAGAGTTCAGTATCTGGTGGCATAGCCACTGCAGTAGCTACACCAGAAACCATCAAACTCTGGCTACCATCCCAAATCGGCAAGACAGCACCTTGTGACACCTGCCTCCAAACCATTGAATGGAAGCTCCGGTATGCGCAAGCTCACGATGCACTATGTTCCCTACATTCAAACTTGCATGCTCAGACTGCAATCCTCAAGTATAAAGATCACAACCTTCATGGACAAGGTGCGAATACAAGGGCACAGAATACACTCAAAGCTGTTGAAGCGAGGCTTGAGGCTGCTGCCAGCATGTATGAGCATGCCCATAAGGCTCTCGTGGTTCTTGCACCACTGCTGAATCAGACTGGGTGGCACTCCTCACTGCAGCCACTAAACCGAGCGGATATCCGCTCAATGACAGATCTATTATGGGGGAATCAGAGGGGACAAGAAAACTATCTTGGATCTGGAATATGTGAGGAGCTGCACCTGACGAGATGGACAAGGACAATGCTTTGGAAGGTGAGTACTTTTTTCTGTTTTGGAAGCTTCAAGCCTAAGGTTCACGGTTAATTAGATATGCGAATCGAATGGTGCAAAGCCAGGGCACAGGCGATGTGCTGGGCTGAAGAGGTGGAGCTGCTGAAGGAAGAGATGCAGAGGATCCTACAATTTTTCGAATGGGATGTGCAATGCTGGGATGAGCGAGGGCTAGAAGATGCCTTACACGACATGGATGATGATGATGAGCGCGAGGGACTGATAGCATATTCCAAATGTCAAGCTTTGTTATGTCGAAGGCTCGCTGAGTCCTTCAGGACTAGTTGGACTGACACCTTGGCACTGGCGGACATATTCAACCACTCACTCGTCACTCAGCAAGACATGGACATTGATTGATTAGTACCCATAGTACATGCATACATAGCAAAATCCAATATAAATTTGTGCTAGCATTGGCTGTCTCATTTGAACAAGTAGTAGGTGTATGCGAATGTGGGATGGCCAACGGGAGGCAAGAACAAGCGGGCCAACGGGGGGGCGAGAACAAGCGGGCAAACAGGTGGGCAAGATGCATTAGCAAAATGGGCAAGTGGAGCACTACTATGCATCATGATGCATCAACTCCCTCCCGTGCTGATGCATCATGATGCATTGGCGGGAGGGAGCTGATGCATTACAGTGGGAGGGAGCTGATGCATTAGTGAGGAGAAAGGGTAGTATAATTGCAGCAATGATGCATCACGGGTGTGCTACAGTTACCCTGTTTGATGCATCAGCATGCCACGAACCTGTGCAACTGCAAACTGTGCGTCGGGTTTGCACCCCATCTGCAGGGGCAGCAGAGAAGTAGTAAAAAATTGTGCGTGAGGGGTGGAAGGAGGTACTGTTCAAGCATCTTGAGCATGATAATTTACAAAAGAGACTTACAGTGAGTATATGCCCCATCACCAACAAATGAGCATGGCAAGGAGTCTCAGCTTACAACTTGGTTCAAGCACGGGTACTTTGTTCCAGTAGTGATACAACAAGAAATAGGTTTGCCTAGACCTTTCAAATATACGTCAAAACGCCATATGTTAAATAAATACCACGACAGATCCTCCACCAAATTTCTCCTCCCTGCAGACCACTCGGCAAGCATTTTCCTACACAGTACTGCTAGTGGATGCGTGTACCTCCTGGAAAACAATCGAATTCATGCTAGTTTCTGCGTCAGAGTATGCCACGAGTAGAACATGAGATTGTATCAGCACTCTGAAATACTCTCCGATGGTCGATCCTATCGATCCCGTCGATGGGTCGAGTCATTGCCTACAGAAGTGTTTCACAGCAACCCGGACTGAAAGACACAGTGCGAGGACCTCCCAAATAGCGTTGAGCATCCAAATCATTGAAACAAGAAACGAGGAGTCCCCTTCAACTTCATAAACGCACAGATATGTGCCAGAGAGTATCAGCTCCTCTGGTATTTGTCCAATGAGCTGTGTTCTCGAGTCAACAAGTAAAACCTACCCCCTACAGCATACTTGAGTCCTATTGCCAAGAGTACTACGCAGGCGATGTTAACCGTCAGAAAGATAATAACAAGGAAGGTGAGCATCATTCTAGATCCTTGATACATAGCATGTAAGCGAGCAATCATGATGACTTGCATCAGGTTTCAGTCAAGTCGATGTCACAGAGGTATTGCAACTGGGTGACTCACCGCCTAACGCAGCAGCTACGATCACATTTGTCCCACTCAGTACATGGTTCGTAATAGTGCCTGAAACTCCCAATCAGTGAACACCCTCGCACTAGTATCAAAGACACCAACTTACACCTATCGAGCCATTATGTTGAACCAAGTTCAATGCTTGGAATCTCACTCACCCCTACATGAGTGTACTGATTGGATGGGAATGAGATGGTTGCAAAATACTTACTGCGTCTGTCAGCGATACTGGTATAGTTGCTGTGTCTCGCCAGTCAGAGATGGAACACAGCGTATATGAGACGTGCGCAGAAGATAGACACTAGTTGTCAGAGATGAGCCATTAGCACAGTGCAAAGTTATTGATCTCGACACATACACAGAATATGGTAGTCCAACATAGCATATCTGGAACACTTTGGGGTCAGCACGACTGTCAATCATGCCAAAGTATAACATGAGGTAGGAACAAGCAGGTATAGCACAGTCATGAGAGACCAGCGTTGCCTCTGTCGTAAGTTCATTGTATTCTGTTGCTTTTGTCCTGATATGGGACTGTGCCACCTACCCAGATCAGTTCAATCTATGACACCATTCTTAGCAAGTTGGCTGCTCCGGCGATAACATTGACGTACCTCTTGTCCAAGTGTTAATACTGAAAATATCATGAGGATATCAACATTTTTCGAACAATGTCCTGCTCACCCCGGTCGTACACGACTACGACGCCGGCAGCAACTGCGAAACTGCAAGTCAATATTATATCTAGACATCTTGATGCGACAAACCCGTTCAATAGCTGTTAAAAACAACTGAATTGATTGTCGGCCACCAACTGGGATCATGTGAAACGAAGGTCATGTTCGAGGGATGGGTGTAAGCGAGTGGGGAATGTCAGTGGTGTATGACGGATAGCTCTGATATTACCAAAATCAGCATGATGGTGATGGAGATTTGATCCCGCACCACGACCCTTGATTTGCAAGTGAAAGGGTGCGAAATCGAACAAAAAGCCGGTAATCAAAGTAGACTTTGATTTCCAAATCACTATTACGCACGGGACTACTTCAACACCAGGAAAGTTCCAGTCGTTGGTGATGTCGGCAACTTAATTCCAACGCGATTTTTGGGGTGTTTTCGCTGCGAGTTTGCAAAAATCGAGGAGTTCGCTATGAAATCATGTAGTCATCTATCTGATACAGGTCAAAGTGTGATATGCGACGTGAAACACGTATGTACTCACTCTCCGGCATCGCTGGCTGAGCCTGAGGCGTAACCTGAGCCTGGATCTGATCAATACTCTTATGGAAGAAGGATGATCATTCTGTGGGATATATACTACATAGTAACGTCAGAGAATTCAGATAAGAAACCGTGACGAAGAGTGAATCAAGTATATCTCACCTTATCTGTCGCCTGACCTACTCTCGAATCATTAGGTGGTGATGCGATTATTGCACTGCCGCAAGCATCCTTGGTATCTGTTGAATACTCATACGGACACCATCCCAAAATCAAAAGGGAAATTACACACGGGAGACAACACGCCAGCTGAAGCCTGTGTACAGGCTTCCACCAGATTGGCAAATTTAGAAATTTAGGTTTGGAAATTGAGTTTGAAAGAGTGTAAATCAAAATCAATCGAAGACTTCTACCTCGGCCTTAAGCTTCAAGAGCCTTAAGGCGGAGATCAATATCTTCATCACCATCATGCCGATTTTGGTGACACAAGCGGTGAACAGCAGTGTATATCTAGCACGAACTGTCCCTGTACTCAAATGGTCCCAGTTGGTGGTCGATAGCCAATTCTAATATATATTTTTTCTATTGGATGAGTTCGTCGCATCAAGATGTCTCGATCTAACTTTGACTTGCGGTTTCACAGTTGCTGCCGGCGTCGTAGTCGTGTACGACTGGGGTGAGCAGGACAGTGTTCAAAACCCGCCGATATCCTCATATATTTTCAGTGTTAACACTTGGACAAGAGGTAGGTCGACGTTACTATCCCTGGAGCAGCCAACTCGCTAAGAATGGTGTCATAGGTTGAACTGATCTGGGTGAGTGACACAGTCGCATATCAGGACAAAAGTAACAGAATACAATGAACTTGCGACAGAGGCAGCCCTGGTCTTTCATGACTGTGTTATACCTGCTTGTGCGTACCTCATGTTATACTATGGCATGATTGACAGTCGTGCTGACCCCAAAATATTCCAGATACGCTATGTTGGACTACCATATTCTGTGTATGTTGTTCTGGCCAATAAGCTGGTGCTGTAGTACTAATAGCACATCTCTCATGATCAGTATCGGCGTTCTTGGTATGCCTTTTATGCACCGTGTTCGATTCTTCTGACCGGCAGCACAGTAGCTATGCCATCGCCGGTCTCGCTGACAGATACAGTAGGTATTCCGCAACCATCTTGTTCCAGCCTCAATTCATTGAATACCTCCATCATTTGTAGGGGTAAGTGAGATTCTCACCATTCAACTTGGCTCAACATAATCACTCGATAGGTGTAAGTCAATGTTTGGTCCTAGTACGAGCGTGACCGCTGATTGGGTGTTTCAGGCATTATTGCAGACTTTGCACTACGTCTGACAAGTGTGGTCGTACTTCTCATGCTGGGCAGTGAGTTTCCCAGCTGCAATACCTCAGTGTTATTGACTCGACTGAAACACGATGCAAGTCATCATGATTGCTCGCGTACATACCATGTATCATCAGAGATCTAGAATCATGCTCATCTCCCTTGTTATTTTTTCCCTGGCTGTTAACATCGCTTGCATAGGACTGACGGTAACAGAAGTCGTCTTGAATCTACCGAGTAAGCTTAACTTGTTTACTAGAAGAACACAGCTCATTAGACAAACACCAGACATTGAGGAGGGGAACTTTGATTCTAATAATGCATATGCATATACATATACATGCAATGACGGATTTAAGGGGGATGCTGAATTTCTGACTGCAGTTTGGGTCCCCTACACTATTTGGGAGGTCGTTGTACTGTATCTGTCAGTCCGGATTACCGTGAAACGTTTCCGTGACCTGCGACGATTCGGCCCATCGACAGGATCGACCATCGGCGGGGACTGTTTCAGAGTGCTGATGAAATCTCACGTGCTTTATTTTGCAAGGTGAGCTTGTAATGTGAATGTGCTTATGATTTTCTGCTCAAGTTCCGCTCGCGTCAGCTTTTTTGGTACCTCTTGCCTCCAGTTTGTTGCTTTCCCTGCGGAGCTCGAGGTGTGCCCACCTGTCGCTGACATCTGCGTGTGACCATTGTTCATCGTTTCTGTAGTTTTCAAATTCTGTGGGAGCCCTGACAATCTATGGTGCTCTTCAAATTTTCTTCGTCGTACAGATATTTGTGCTGGGACCACGCCTCGTCCTTAGCGTTCGAGAATATCACGCCTCACTCGCGGCCTGATCCGACGCAGAAACCAGCATGAGTTCGATTGTCTTCCAGGAGCGTGGACATGTAGAAACTAGCAGTACTGTATAGGGAAATTCTCGCGGAGTGTTCTGCATGGAGGAGATATTTGGACAAGGATCCGTCGTGGTGTTTATTATAGTTCTTGTGTCTCGATGTATATTTAAGGCCAGGTTTATGTACGCATTTCTTGTTGTATTACTACTGGAAGTCAGTGAACGGCGCACCAACAATTTGCACCAAGCGTCAAGCTGAAAAGGCACAGTAAGAAGATGAGGTGTACTGAGTGCCAGAGAGCAGAGAAATCGAGAATGGGAGCTTCAGTTTGTAAGGCCTCGAGTATATCCGTCAAACCGTAAAAGACATGTGCCTGAGCAAAGCAAAAGCAAACGCGAGATGGAGTCGAGAAATTCTAGACGGGCAATAATGCGTCATATCAGCGAGAATACCTGACCACCTTTATCATTCATCTAGGCGGGACATGTGGGATGCAATGCAAAAGTTCTGTGAACCAAAAAAGTAAAGGGAGCGTGTGTGCTTAGATGGCTGATAGCCCCAATGATTTCACGATCATCAAGTCCATTCGAGATCTATCGTCTATCTGAGCTCAATGAAATAAAGGAGAAGTGACCGTGATGAGTGAAGCCCAGATGACTAACACAGCGGCTCTGGTCCGCAGGACACAACTACAGTGACGACTCGGGCGAATGGCGAAAATGATGTTTGTGAAAACGAGTAAAGTGTGAGGGGAATGACGAGTAAGTGGAGGCCCAGATGGGACAGTGAATCTGCTTCAGTGTACACGACCATATTTCAAATCGGGCTGTCCGCACAGTGATGAGTCTATGACACGTCAACGTTCCAACGTTCACATCTAGAACGTTCCCTATAGAACCAGTGCTCACTGGAATATCAAGATGATAATACCATTCATCCGAATTAACAATCCTCTCTTTGTACCAACACAGCCTGCATCAGATAGTGTACGTTCCATTAGCTGTCATATAGCTATCCCAAAATCCGACCTCACCTTCGGGACCCGATTTAGAGCCTTTCAGCTTTTGCAACATCGACAGCAGAACTCGCCCGCGTTCTCATCTCATCTCGTAAACATTTACTCACAATCACAATCGGATTCTGACCCACTCTGTGCTGGCGCAAAATGAGTTTACTTGGGACAAAGTAACCCTACTCACCAGTAGGCAAAATGACGCAGACATACCGGACTTTGAGAAACATTTTCCAAATTATGCAACTTGAATAAGATAGAATTCTATACAACCATAGTTGATAAGTCCCCGACACCCACTTTAGTGCACGTAGGGAGAGGGTTCTGTAGAAAATAAATGTCATCTGTCATTTGATGCGTGGAAAAATCTTTCCGCTGGCCGATAATTAATCAAGCCGATGGTCTATTATTGTAACACAGCATTGGAGCTGTTTGTATCAGAACGCAACATTGCACGTTCGTTTCTGATATTCTTCGAATCACGTCTTCAACACGGCGGACTGACCCTTGAGCTTGATGCTTCATTCCACTTCTGTTTCATGCTTTCGCTGTTGATGGCATGGAGGGACCGCGGCGCACTGAACGTTTTTCTGATGGCTTGATGTGACTCTTCCAAGGCACGTCTTCAACACGACCGACTACTACTCTTCATTGTATCCAGGGTAGGAAATTTTCAATTATGGAGGCAGAGAAGCGCTTAGCTGCCAAGAATTGATCATGCATCAAGCTCAAGGGCAGTGCTTATAAGTTTGATCGAGAACGAAACAGGTAATACTGGTTTGCAAATCAAAGTCTACCTGGATTCAATCAGCGGCGACTTCAATTTCTGCATCGCAATACTTTGACAAATTTCAAAATTTCAAGGGCTTCGAGGCTAGCATCTGCATGAATATTCACCACCATCATTCCGATTTAGGCGGTACAAGCGCTGAACGCAGTATATCTACTAGTAGCACGAACGCTAAATCGTTATAATCTCTAACCTTCCCCACTCGCTCATATCCATCCCTCGAAAATGACTAAAATCTCAGACGATCCCAATTGGTGGCCGTCTATCGATGACCATGATTTTTACAGCTATTGGAGGGGTTCGTCCCTCAGTCGGTGATGTCTCAATCTACTAACATTGACTTGCGGCTTCGCAGTTGCTGCAGGCTTCGTGGTGGTATACGATTGGGGTGAGCAGACAGTATCTGAAACTCGCTGATATTCTGATGATATTTCTAGCCCTAACCCTCGGACAAGAGGTAGGTCAGTGCTATTACTGGAGTAGGGAGCTTGCTAAGAATGATGTTATAGATTGATTTGATTTGGGTGAGCAACATATCAGATGAAACACAGGATAATACGATGAATTTGAGGCAGGGACAACGTTGGTCTCTCATCACTGTGCTGTTCCTGGTTGTTCGTATCTCATGTTATACTATGACATGGTTGACAGTTGTGCTGACTCTAAAATGTTCTAGATACGCTATATTGGAATGCCATATTTTGTGTATGTCACTTATTATGGCCAACAAGTTGGCGCTGTACTAATAGCCCGTCTCTCATTATTAGTATCGACGCTCTGGGTACGTCGTATATGCGTTGTATTCGATTCTTCTGACTGGCGGCACACAGCATATATCCCAATATTCTCGCTGACAGACGAAGTGAGTATTCCGCAACCATATCATTCCTATCTAATGAATACGCTCATATGTAGGGGTGAGTAAAATTCTGAACATTGAACTTGGCTCAACATAATGATTACACAGGTGTAAGTTTTGGAGTGTTTCATCATCGTACGAAGTTGATCACTAATTAGGTCTTTCAGGCTATCTTATGACCTACGCAAAGAATGGGCAAGATTTGATCGTGTTTGTTATGTTGGGCAGTGAGTTACCCAGCTTCAATATATTGACTCAACTGAAATATGACGCAAGTCATCATGATTGCTCGGTTATATGCCATGTATCAGGGATCTAGAATGATGCTTACCTTTCTTGTCATTATCTTCCTGGCTGTAAATATCGCCTATGCAGTAATAATCGACATAGTAGAAATCAAGGATACCACAGCGGGTAAGCTTTACTCGTTGACTTGAAGAAAATAGCTCATTGGACAAATACCAGAGGAGCTTATACTCTCTGGAAGATATATGTGCCATTATGAATATAAGGGGGACTACCAGCTCTTGTTTCAAATGAATTGGATACTCATCACTATTTGGGAGATCCTCGCATTGTGTCTTTCAGCCTGGATTGCTGTAAAACACTTCCGTGACCTGGAACGATTCGGCCCATCAACAGGATCGATCATCGGGGACTGTTTCAGAGTACTGATAGAATCTCATGTGTTTTATTTTGCGAGGTGAGCTTGTAATGTGGATGTGCTCATCTTTTCTGCTAAAGCTTTGCACGTGCTAGCTTTGTTGGTGTCCCTATCATCCAGTTTATCCTTAACTCTCCAGAGCTCGAGGTACGCCAACTTGTTGCCGACATCTGCATCCAACCACTGCTCATCATTTCTGTAGCATTCAAATTATATGGCACATTCCATACTCGATGGTGCTTATCAGATTTTATCTGGCGTGCAGTGGTTTGTGCTGGGACCACGCCTCGTCCTTGGTGTTCGAGAATATCATGCCAAACTCGTGGCCGAATCCGACGCAGAAACTAGCATGAATTTGATTGTCTTCCAGGAGCGTGTATATGTACCAACTAGCAGTTCTGTATAGGGAAATGCTTGCCGAGTGTTTTGCAGGGAGATATTCGGTTGAGGATCCGTCATGTTATTTATTCAAGATATGGTGTTTCAAAGTATATTTAAGACGAAATTTATGTAGACATTTCTTATATATTGTATCACGTCTAGCAACCAACCCAGTCCTTGATACCCAGACAACTGATTCTATCTATTTGTGAAGTTCCGTTATCTGAGCACACATGGTGAGGAAATGACCGCGATTATTAAGCCCAGATGGCTGATAACTCATTGGCGTTCACAAATCTCTTCATCCATCTTGGCCATGGAGAAAAAGGAATAAATCACCCAGATTCCGAGTCATGGCTCGACTGTGTGCCTGTATCACAAATGAGCATGACAAGGAAATGGGAGTGGAAAATCAGAGAACGATAATTTCAAGCCAGAAGGCCTCAAGTGCACCTGTAAAATGATTGATTAGGCATCGACAACAATATTTTGAAATGACATGCATAAATACGTTGATCGGAGTCGCGCCATCGTAGTATTCCGCCCACGCGACTGCGAATTGTGCATTGAATTTGCATCCTTTGAGTGATTTCTCGGAGCTACAATGACTGTCAGAGTAAGTACCGATCGAGATACATACTTGTGTGCACAATCTGGACCGAAGGAATAGAAAATGAGGGGAAAGTAGAAGTAGCGTCTGAGCTCAGACAGCTGACGGCACAAGGGTTTTGCAGCATGTCGACTCTCGCCTTGTCGTGAATTAGCGTCTGTTTGAACACAAAGAGGAAGGAGGAATAAGTGACGTGGGCAGGCAAGGATCTTGCGATAAACACTGCCATCGTGGTCATGATACGGCGACCGCTGACCAGGCCGACAGAGCGGCGATTGGAAATTTGTTGGTCAGAGGGCAATCATATTGAACTGGAGATAGTGAACGGGGAAGATAGGTATGCATTCAAAAGCTAGAACAACCAGTAAGGACAAATAAACTGGTGCGTAACTGTTTCATCATCAAATGCCAAATGTTTAAGAAAATAATTGGCCATCCAACTCGTCCAGCATCTCTTTCAACTCCTGTTGCTTCCTTGTGATGGCATGGGGCAACCATATACACTGAAGCATCCCTACGCCAAGACCCTCCGGATATGAGGGTCATAATGGCGATAGTAAGAGAAATACATATTTCGATAGCGGTAAATATAGCACCCGCGAGTGACGTGGAATTTAAAACAGACATTGACGATCAGTCTCGAGCGTGAGGTTGGATACGCAACTTTTAAGGGCTACTGATGGAGCAGAAATTGTCCAAGGCCGCGAAATCCTGTGATCACGAGTCCGAACACAAGGAAACACAAGTAGGAGCGACATTTATTATCAAAGGCTAGATGGTTGATAAAATCATAACTCAACAAGAACCGAGTTTTATCAATAATCTAAACCAAATGGATAGAAAGTGAGGGGAATGGAAGATGGAAGTAGTAATGACTCACCCTTCTCCTGAAATAGCGTGTGTTTGAATACAGAGGTCTGAGAGGGATAAGTGAAGTGGGCAGGCGAAAATCTTCTGTCAGCATGATCGCGATAAAGCGGCCGCTGACCAGGCCATACGAGTGGTGATTCTGAATTTGGTGGTCAGAGAAGACAATCTTGCGTCTGGATGCAGAAGTGATGATGAAGGTGGAAAATGGGTAAGATGGGGAGATATCTTGTAGGAATAATAGAGGGTGCCGTGATGTCTCCCATATGGGCCGTCCGAAAGACCAATAATGAAGACAATTTGTGGACGACCGGTGAAATGGTGTGCATGTACCAATTAGCAGTACTGTGTAGGGAAATTCTGTATACTAGAGGAGATTGGTCAAGGATCCGTCATTAGATTGAAATATTGACATGTCGTTGTTGGAAATGTTTTTGAGACTCCGAGAATCTATTTTATTTTACTTACGGACACCTATCCACTTGCAATTGCTCGGATCCCAAGTGAACGCGAACTTTTCGATTTCCCAAAACCAGGTCTGAACAAATAGTACTGCTCTGCAAGTAATAAGCACTAGACCGGAACTCAAGTACTCACATGTGCCATTCTCTCTCACTTGCATCATGGAGGACAAGAATCGACGTGCTTGTGAAGCTCTCGGATGGACAGGCACTGCGGTACCAAATCTAGAATGAAAGACTATCTTCCATTTAGTATTTGATCTTCCTAGTATTTATATATATGAGACTAAAGTGTTGCTCCTGTGACAGGTCCTCCAGACACAGTCTTCCTCGCGCTCAAGGACATTGGCCGCCACTTCTACTACCCATTCAGTCTACTGCGAGTACTGCTGCCCTAAAGGCTGAGTGCTAGTTGTACTTCTTTTGTATGCCACGAACTCCAAAACGTCCGGCTGGCTACCCATGTATACATAATGCTACGTTCATATTTTCCATTTCGTTCCTACCCTTCACCTTGTATTCATTTCTAAACATGATTTCTGCCCTTCTTATCTACAACATGATGATACTCTAACTTCCCCAGCCTCAGGATACCACACATCCCACTATTCTTCTCAGCTCATCTTCGCACCAATCCGGCATCAGATTCAAATCCACATGTAAGTATCACAGTATTTATATACGTACCTTTGGCCAGCACGCTGGCATACTTTACTCCACAACTCAATGGCGTCTTCTCTCTCAAGACTTCCAATCTGTTCACGCCCGCCCATATGCACCCCAAACAAGTGGCACTGGTGTTGGAGACGGCTTATATAGAGCATCTAGTTTTGGCCAGCTGTAAGTTGTTTATCCTGTTCTACTACTCTTGACGACACATGCTAGGCTGACCATCTATACAGTGCTCGTGCGTCCGCCGTCCTCGAGCATAGACTCGCTTAATTATTGATCTGCGCCCAAACTTTAACCTTACCCCGACCTCACTCGAGAACAATGAGTCATCAACCGACTGAACCATGTATCTCAATGCTCAAGGTAAGCATTTCTATGAACTTTTGTCTAAGATATGTTCTGACGAACCTGAAGTTATATTCCCCTCGAGGTTCATCCATATGGACAGCCCAAATGGACGATAGGGAAGTGGTGATTTTCATGAAGAACCATTGCTTTATCCGTCATCTCTTTCTCCGCGAATCTTCGTTTTCGTTTTAAGAAACCGAATTCACCCCTCGTACTCTTTTCACCCGAGTCCAACGACTGGTCCATGTGGATGAGCAGGACCGTTACGTGACCAGCTGTGTGAACTTCGATATACTACTCAAGGGTGCCACTGATCAGTTACGATGGTGTCGATAGTTGGGTTTGTGTCAAATCTGGTTCGATGCTTCACGCTAACAGACGTGCTACTTTCTCTATGGGTATTCACAGATCACAAGGACCTGAACAAAAACCTGACGCGCAATCCTACGATCACTATCACTTTCTTCGTTCTTTGTGCTCAGACAGACGATAATCAGGGAATTTGTCATCGTGTTGAATTTTCTGACTATCAGTTGTCTGAGCTCAGACGCGCTGCTTTTACTTTCCTGGTTCATGATACTTTCGCATCGCATTCTATATGCCTGGCCCATACGGATGATTGCGGAAGAGGACAGCATGAAAGCAAGAGCAATGTATCATCAGCCACATGTGTTTTTACAATCACTGTTGCTTCTCACGGCTTTTGTCTCAGACAGCTGGAGATGCTTTGTTAAGTGCGCTTTCCTCCCATGAAATACTCGAGCCGTAGGCCTCTTAAAACTATTTTACTCCACATCGTTAAATCGTGCTTGAACCCGGCGATTGCTGTTGACGACATGGCTTGCTGACAGCGGTCAGCTTTGGATGGTTCAACCAGATGATCGACGCTCAATCAGTCGACTAGTAGTCTTTAGGACATCGACACCCTACTTCCCTTCATGATTCGGCATTTCTTCTCTGCAACCCAGATGGATGATGATGAAGGCGTCGAGGGATTTTCAGTTGATCTGACACATTATCAGCCATCTGTGGTCTCACGACTTGCTCAGGTCGCTTCTCCTTTTACTTTTCTGGGGCACACGATAGAGCCATGCGATCTGATCAAAGTACGTATGTCGGAATGTCGTGGTCGGCGTCTTATTGATACTTTTCCAGTCCCGGATTTCTTCTCTACTCACCATTCAGTACTTCTCATCTTCTTGCCATGCGCATTTATTCGGAACAGAGGCATACACTCACCCCGTAAGTCTCAATTGTCATGCTCGATATGGTCAAATCATGGTTGAACAGACGTCAATCAGCGATATAGGGCTTACTTCTACCCCCAAATTCAGCCTATCATTCAATCCCTCTCTCATCGTGCTTTTATTTAGTTCGGGATTGGAAGTACTTTGTCCGTAATCGAAGGCCCCTGCTTCGTCTCCGCATCCACAAGGTCAGACATCACAATGTGACAGATGTTTGTGAATCACTACTATACTAATCTTCATCTGATCTTCCTGCCAGATCAGATGTCCCCACCGGTACATATCAATCCCCGTCAACGTTCACATGCGCATCCAGAATGTTCTCTAATCGGTAGAATGGTACTGGTCGGAAATCAAAATATACTTTCGTTCAATCGATACCTAGGACTTCCATATTTGTTTGATGTCACATCACACAATACTGAGTTCAACCAATCAAGGATCTCGACTCCGACTCGGTCCCTCGGAGGCAGGCGATATCCATCATCGTCATGCCGATTTGGCGATACGAGGGATGCAGCGCTGAACAGCAGTATATCCGGTACGAAGACTAGATCGCTATATCCTTCAACATCCCTCACTAGCTCGCACCTATCCCTCGAATATGACCCTGGTCTCAAATGATCCCGCTTCGTGGCCGATAATCAATTCAAATGTTTATTTAAGCTATTTGATGGGTTCGTCGTATTAGTTGGTGATGTCTCGAACTAACGTTGACTTGCGGCTTCGCAGTCGCCGCAGGCGTCGTGGTGGTATACGATTGGGGTGAGCAGAACAGTGTGTGAGAACTACTAACATTCTCATGAGATTTCCAGTACTTACACTTGGACGAGAGGTAGGTCGATGTTATTCCCTGAGCAACCAACTCGCTAAGTATGGTGTCATAGATTGAATTGATCTGGGTGAGTGACAGAGTCGCATCAGGGGAAAGCAACAGAATACAATGAATTTGGGGCAGAGGCAACGCTGGTCTCTCATGACTGTGCTGTATCTGGTTGTTCGTACCTTATGTCATACTGTGGCATGATTGGCAGTTGTGCTGACTCCAAAATGGTCTAGATACGCTATGTTGGAATACCATATTCTGTGTATGTTTTTGAAGCCTACAAGTTGGTACTGTCCCAATAACCCATCTCTCATGATCAGCATCAACGTTCTGCGTATGTCTCAATGTGTACCGTGTTCGATTCTTCTGACCGGCGGAACACAGTACATATACCATTGGTCTCGAAGACAGATGCAGTCAGTATTCCTCAACCGATTTTATTTTCATCCAATGAATCCACTAACTTGTATATTTGTAGGGGTGAGTGAGATTCTGACCATTCAACTTGGCTCAACATAATGACCCAATAGGTGTGAGTCGGAGTGTTTGATCCTCGTATGGTCACTAATTGGGTGTTTCAGGCAACATTATGATCTACGCATTGAATGGGACGGATGTGGTCGTAGCTACCATGCTGGGCGGTGAGTTGGCTGCAATACCTCAGTGATATTGACTCGACTGAAACATGATACAAGTCATCATGATTGCTCGGTTACATGCCATGTATCAGGGATCCAGAATGATGCTTATCTTCCTTCTTATTATCTTCCTGGCTATGACTATCGCCTGGGGAGTACTCGTGGCAATATCACTCAAGTATACTGTAAAGGGTAAGCTTTACTTGTTGACTTGAAGAACACGGCTCATTGGACCAACACCAGAGGAGCTGATACTCTCTGGTACATATATGTGCGAGTATAGCTTTCAGGGTGACGTCCAGCTTCTTATTTCAATGCTTTGGGTGCTCTGCACCGTTTGGGAGGTCCTCGCACTGTGTCTTTCATTCTGGATTGCTGTGAAACACTTCCGTGACCTGCGACGACTCGGCCCATTGACAGGATTGACCATCAGGGACTGTTTCAGAGTGCTGGTAAAATCTCACGTGCTTTATTTTGCGAGGTAAGCTTGTAATGTGATTAATGTGCTCATCTTTGCATGCTTAAATTCCATACGTGCTAGCTTTGTTGGTGTCTCTTGCTTCCAGTTGGTTACTTTTTCTCCAGAGTCCAAGGTGCGCCGACCTGTCGCTGACATCTGCGTGCAACCACTAATGATTTCTGTAGAATTCAAATTCTATAAGAACCGACATACTCGATAGTGCCTGTCAAATTTTCTTGAGCGTGCAGATGTTTGTGCTGGGACCACGCCTCATCCTTAGCGTTCGAGAATATTACGCCAAGCTTGTGGCCGAATCCGACGCAGAAACTAGCATAAGTTCGATTTTCTTTCAGGAGCACGTACATGTGCAGACCAGCAGTACTGTGTAGGGAAATGCTTGCCGAGTGTTCTGCATGGAGGAGAAATTTGGTCGAGGATCTGTCGTAGTGTTTATTTAAGTTACAGTATATTTAAGACTAGGTTTGCGTAGACATTTCTCGCTAACTTAATACTGGAAGTCGATGAATCGCCCGCCCCCACTTCGGCTCTCTAGAATATTTCCAGTCTTCCTCCCGCTCAGGACATGATTCTACTATCTATTCAGTCCACTGCGATTGCTGCTGCTCTGAACGCTGAGCGCTGAGCGCTGAGTGCTACATAGCTGTACTTATGCCACGAACTCCAAAACGCCCGAGTAAAACGTCGTAACAACAAATGTCGTGATAGTACACAAAACCAAATAGAAAAATGCGGATGTCGGCCCGGAACTTGGACAATGTACACCACCGACGACAATAGCGAGGTTCGAGACGTGAGTCACATTCAAATTCATCCATGCACTTTCCGCCATTCGTACACATCCAGAAATCGGTAGATTGGTACGTAGTAGCTGGAAATTAAAATATTCAATCGATACCCAGGACTTCCGGAACATATTTGTTTGACGTCACATCACAATACTAACTCCAAGGCCTTGACTCCCCGGGCTCGGTCACTCAGAGGCAGGCGATATACGTCATCGTCATGCCGATTTGGCGATACGAGCACTAGTGCAACGCTGAGCTCTGAGCGCTGAGCGCTGAACAGCAGTATATCTAGTACGAAGACTAGATCCGTTATAACCTTCAACATCCCTCGCTCGCTCACACCCATCCCTCGAATATGACACTGGTCTCAAATGATCCCGCTTCGTGGCCGATAATCAATTCAAATGTTTATTTGAGCTATTTGATAGGTTCGTCGTATTACTTAGTTGGTGATGTCTCGAATTAACGTTGACTTGCGGCTTCGCAGTCGCTGCAGGCGTCTTGATGGTATACGATTGGGGTGAGCAGGACAGTGTTTGAGAACTGCTAACATTCTCATGAGATTTCCAGTACTTACACTTGGACGAGAGGTAGGTCGATGTTATTCCCTGAGCAGCCAACTCGCTAAGTATGGTGTCGTAGATTGAACTGATCTGGGTGAGTGACAGTCACATATTAGGAGAAAAGCAACAGAATACAATGAATTTGGGGCAGAAGCAACGCTGGTCTCTCATGACTGTGCTGTATCTGGTTGTTCGTACCTTATGTCATACTGTGGCATGATTGGCAGTTGTGCTGACTCCAAAATGGTCTAGATACGCTATGTTGGAATACCATATTCTGTGTATGTTTTTGAAGCCTACAAGTTGGTACTGTACCAATAACAATAACCCATCTCTCATGATCAGCATCAACGTTCTGCGTATGTCTCAATGTGTACCGTGTTCGATTCTTCTGACAGGCGGAACACAGTACATATACCATTGGTCTCGAAGACAGATGCAGTCAGTATTCCTCAACCGATTTTATTTTCATCCAATGAATCCACTAACTTGTATATTTGTAGGGGTGAGTGAGATTCTGACCATTCAACTTGGCTCAACATAATGACTCAATAGGTGTGAGTCGGAGTGTTTGATCCTCGTATGGTCACTAATTGGGTGTTTCAGGCAACATTATGAACTACGCATTGAATTGGACGGATGTGGTCGTAGCTGTCATGCTGGGTGGTGAGTTGACCAGCTGCAATACCTCAGTGATATTGACTCGACTGAAACATGATACAAGTCATCATGATTGCTCGGTTACATGCCATGTATCAGGGATCTAGAATGATGCTTATCTTCCTTCTTATTATCTTCCTGGCTATAACCATCACCTGGGGAGCACTCATGGCAATAGCACTCAAGTATACTGTAACGGGTAAGCCTACTTTTGACTTGGGGAACACGGCTCATTGGGCCATCACCAGAGGAGCTGATACTCTCTGGCACATATATATGCGATTATAGATTTAAGAGGGACGTCCAGCTTCTTATTTCAATGCTTTGGGTGCTCTACACTGTTTGGGAGGTCCTCGCACTGTGTCTTTCATTCTGGATTGCTGTGAAACACCTCCGTGACCTGCGACGACTCGGCCCATTGACAGGATTGACCATCAGGGACTGTTTCAGAGTGCTGGTACAATCCCACGTGCTTTATTTTGCGAGGTGAGCTTGTAATGTGAATATGCTCATCTCTGCGTTCTCAAATTGCGTACGTGCTAGCTTTGCTGGCGTCTCTTGCTTCAAGCTAGTTACTTTCTCTCCAGAGCTCGAGGTGCGCCGAGCTGTCGCTGACATCTGCGTGTAACCACTGCTCATCATTTCTATAGAATTCAAATTCTATGAGAACCGACAGCCTCAATAATGCTTGTCAAATTTTCTTGAGCGTGCAGATGTATGTGTTGGGACCACGCCTCATCCTTAGCGTTCGAGAATATTACGCCAAGCTTGTGGCCGAACCCGACGCAGAAACTAGCATAAGTTCGATTTTTTTTCAGGAGCACGTACATGTACAAACCAGCAGTACTGTGTAGGGAAATGCTTGCGGTGTGTTCTGCATGGAGGAGAAATTTAGTCGAGGATCTGTCGTGGTATTTATTTGAGTGACAGTATATTCAAGACTAAGTTTGCGCAGACATTTCTCACTAAATACTGGAAGTCGATGAATCGCCCACCCACACTTCGGCTCTCTGGCTTATCATTTGAATGTTCATTTGAAAATTACTGATATATTTCTCCATAGGTGTTAACTAACACGATCAAGAATTTGTATTCCCTACGGCATCGTTATACTACAAGGTAACAGTACAAACTGTAATATGAATTGCATTACAATAATATTGTGTTTTTTGGAAAGAGGCCTTCTCTATAATATGTCTAGTTAGACAGTCGCTTGATCTTCATAATGATCGCTATAGGAAAGCCACAATTAATATCAGTCAGCATCAAATTCAAGAATAAGACGAACATTGAGGGTCAAGGTTTTGATGAGGAATTTGCTCGGACAAACCACCACAGCCCTCCTTGGTCGTACCCATGTAGCCATACTTGGGTGTGAGCTGGCGCTCGATGAGCCAAGTACCCATCTTCGAACCAAGCTGAAACACACGTTAGTGTGAATCTACCGCACGCGAACGGATACATACCCCAGTCTTCTGGTTCAGTGACTCAACGACCAGTACGAAGGGGCTTGAACCGATCTTCCTAAGCGTTTGTTCATCGACCAGGTTGAGCGTAGGCTTGTTGATCAAGCCAACATCCAGACCCTCCTGGCGGCAGCGCAGGACAGCGTCCCACGAGCGGTACAGCATCTCACCGAAAGAGACAACATATCCAGCTTTGCCATCCACGATCGTCTCATCCTTGCCAGGCACGAACTTGTAGCCGTCACCGAAGAATTTGGTACCGTCCTCCTTGAGGATGTAAGGCACCTTCGAACGGGTGGAGAAAACGAAGCGCAGGCCACGCTCGAAGAAGACCCGCTGGATGACAGCCACCATCTGCAATGGGTCGGCAGGGAAGTACAGCCACGACTGAACATCAGAGAGACCATTGTCGGCGAAGAAGGAGTTGACACCAAAGTGGCAGGTGTTGTCGGCCATCTAATGACAGAGTAAGCCCAAGCCTCAGATCTAACATCGATAATTTACGCACCTCATCAACACCAGAGTGCGAGAAGTGACTAAGAACATTGCAGTTGTTCAGGCGGGCCATGGTGACCTCAGAGATGACCATCTCAAGGAAAGCGGAGAACGTCGAGAAGACACCAAACTTGTTCGCGTCAAAACCGAAACCGGCGGCTGTGGAGAAGTTTCCACGTTCCATGATACCGGATGGAACGAATACCTCAGGGTGCTTTTGATGGATGACCTTAAGACCAGTGGAGCCCTCAAGATCACCTTTTTTTGGAATGAGCTAAGTTCTTAGTAAATTTGTCGATGAACTCACTGTCGATCACCATGACTTTCTCGGCAGCCTCCTCCTTGCTAAGCTTGTCCAGCACCAAGTTGACAGCTTCACCAAAGACAACACGGTTTGCTCCAACCTCCTTGGAGGAGCCGATGTATAAGTACGGCACGCCCGTAGGCTTGATGTTATTGAGGATATCCTCCGACACTGAAGTGGGGTATCCCCGTGCGGCAAGGTATTTGATGGCGGCCTTCACGGGGATAACATCGTGCCCATGAGTGCTACCCTCGATGTCAGCAACACCCGGTGCCATAAGACGCTTGGCGACGACTGGAACCATGATTAAAACTCAAGTTACGCTGGGAAGTCGACAGGCTTACCAGCAGCAGGACCATCGTAGGTAACAACCGCGGCGATGGCGGCCCATAGGGCGTCGATGTCCTCACCCTGAACTGTGTAGACCTTGAGACCGTGACCCTCAAGAGTCTTACTGACGTCGTAGCCCTTCAGGTACTGAGATGGGTGTCCGGCGATAGTGACGTCATTGTCATCGATCAACAATTTAACGTTCAAGTTCTGCGCAACAGCCAATCTGGCGGCCTCGGCATCGTTACCTTCCTGTTGGGAACCATCGGAACCCAGACAGAAGACAACTTTTTCCTTGTTTGCCATTGCGACACCGTTGACCATGGGCCACATGTGACCAAGACGGCCGGAGGAGAACTTGACACCAGGTGTCAAACCCAGTTCGGGGTGACCAGGTAACTTTGAATTGGCTTCACGGTAATGAAGGAGATGCTCAGGGGGAATGTGCCCATCGAGAGCAGCGAGAAGGTATTGAGTTGCGACACGGTGACCTTAGTATATTGTTAGGTCAAGTCCAAAAGACGCATATAATCATTTGTATACCTGCTTCATCGAAGACGATGGGGAGGTACTTCTCCGATGCCTCAAACAAGCTGAGGAGAATGCACACCTCCGGAATGGTGTCATAAGCTCCACCTGGTGCGAACGGTAAGCGAGAAGCAAGCTATCGGAGATCAAAGCCACAAACCAGTGTGCCCGCTCACTCCCCGAGCAGCACCTGTTGCGGTGAAGAGCACGAGAGCATCACGGAGAAGCTGGATGTTGTGCAGAAGAGTCGATTTCTGTTCTGCAGTCAACTGGGGCTTGGAGGGGTCAAGCGTCAATCTTATCGCATCCCCGATTAAGCAGATAGTCCTGATTTACTGCGACAAGAAGTCAACACTGACTTTCTGTACTTCTTGAGATCAATTGGGAACGCGCTCTCTGTGCCAGGCATTTTGGGAGATCAGGTGTTTCGAAGGTCTAAGTAATGGTGGTGTGATGATAGACTGATCATTCGATCTTACCAGCTTTATTAAGGTGAGCGTGTGAACTTGAATGTATGCGGGCCGCGTTATTAGCTACAACTCACATGAAACCAACATGCAACGAAAGGAAACGTTCGAAAGCTTTCACAAGCGAGAGCCAGAGCGCACACAGCTAGTCCCGGAGTACAGGTAACTAGGTCATTTGCTCACTGCACTGCTTCACTAGTCCCTTCGATGAGAGAACGACACGGTGACCGTGAGCATGTTCACATATAGATTAGTGCACATCTTCCCAATCATGTGAGCGGTCGTCGCTTTTTCATGGGTATCGGTGAAAGTTCTGTGAGTCTCCTATGTGTCTTGTGAGTTTCTATGGAACGAACGAATCATGATGCTTTCCGTAGATGTATGGACACGTTCTTCGTATTCGGCCTGGGATGGTTACCTACGTAACTTTCTCCGCGCGCGTTTGTCGGAAACTACATCCCTTTCGAGAGGCTAATGGTACAGGAACCCGGTAAGGGCGGTGCCCCTGACGAATGATTGTGGTCAATCTAATTATGGTCAAGTGAAACGTCGATCTGGCCGCGCTGCTCACTAATGCTAACACCGACTTTGAACTAGTACGTCGACATTGTCTGCACTCAGAAGGCAAGGTTTGACATATTAGCCTATCACTTACCTACCTGCTAGACCATAGCTGCACTTTCCCGAGGGTGGATGAACAACCGGTGAAATGGGTCCCTTAATATGCAGCACGCATTGATCGTACTTGCCTAAAACTTGGAGAGAGTTTCGAGTCTATCATGTGTGGATAAAACCGATACACAGGACTGGGTCCAATTTCACGATTCTTCATAGGTATGTACGATAGTCATCGACATCACTGAAGTCAGAATCTCAGCATGGTCCCTCAAACTCATGATATCTACTGCAAGTACTCATCATGGGAACCGACCTATTAGGTTGTACGTATCACCTCCACGGGCGGATATACTGCCAGTAGCCTTCGAAATTTGTTTGGGCCGGTCTTACTCTGGACTACACAAGGTATGGTATATCGGACCTGAGATATTATTAACGATGATGCTGGTCACGCGTAGTTTGGCTGCGGCGCTGCACATGTGCTTCAAGTTGTGGAAGAAAAGTGGATATCCTTTTTCAGATGTCGGAAAGATCCCATGTCTCCCGATCTATAGACCCACCCAAAATTTAGGCGTCCTACACTCGAAATGATAAGAGCCAGAAGGCGAAATTCTGCACGATGTCTAAGCTAATGTGTCTCGGATGATAACACAAAAGCTTCCCGCTACACCTCTCGTTACTTCCTCCATCACCATCGCCAGCAGTACCTGGCTTTAGACCTGCTTCCACATTCAGTGCACAGCAAACACTAGTTAGTTTTGCCTTCGCACCGAAACGTAAAGCGGACTCAAATAACTCCACCAAATCCACAACACGCACCAAGCCTAAGGCAATTTCGAAAACCTCCTTACCTCAAGCTGAGCTGAAGAATTCCTTGCATTTATTTTTGTATGGTGGAAGGCACATTCTCATATTGTATTAGTATGATACACCCGTATCTGACATTCAACATATCAGATAAATGTTCCCCGGTGTCCCATCCTGAGCCACATTAATTGCCCGCACAAGACCCCTCGGTGCCCTGCAAACGAGTATTTTTGGATGTGGGAATTACAGATACGAAACGGCGTGCAACATTGCTTCCCGAGAATTTTGGCGTATTCAGATCGTGAGAGGCAAATGCAAAAGGAACGAACGTACAGAGGCACGGAGAGCTGACAAGGGGGCTGCAGAGAGGAGACGATGGGCAGAAGACTCTGTTTGTGATAAAGAGGTGATCATTTAGGGCTGCGGCAGCTCGAGCTGTAGAAATTTCTATTTTGGTGAGGCAATGGGTCTGGAACCAGTTCGAACTCGAACAGAACCATATCTGACCGATCCATTGGTGAACCTATAATCCTGGTCCAGGTTTGAGGGTAAGGAAACACGGACCTGCGGCACCGAATTATATTATTCAGATCAGAGGAATGTGACGAGGCGATGATTAATATGGAGCCCCAGTTCTGAGTCCGTCGAGTGGGCATGCTGCAAAGAAGAACTCGTGATCGTTCTTACTTGTTATCGGTAAGTTTGTTTGTTGGTGCATTTATACATGTGGCGTATTACGTGATGTCGTGCTGCATTCGTTCTAGTTCACGCTTGTATCCGCATCCGATTAATTTGTTCAGGGCGGGCCCATCAATGCATCAATGCATCATGTGTCGAAGATTTGAAGCTAAGCCTCATAGGTTCTGGTCCTTCGCAACTACCTATTTTTCCGTACAGGAAGACGACAGTTGCTCCTCACTATCATGCGACTAAATCAGCTAGTACAAGTCATTGGATGCTGGCTGCTGCCAGTGGCAACCTTCTCGAGGAATATCGCTTTTCAAACTAGTCAGTGATGAATTTAATGACGCGCGCGGTACGCCAGTGTCCAAATGGGGTTTGCTAGTCCAAAGTTGAGATCCACTTACGACGACCATCACACTATAAGATGCAGACATTGCTCGCTCTCCTTTAAGGAGATACGCTCACCCTCCTGTTCACGTCATATACGCTCTCTGCTCTATGATCATGGCCACGACTTTGAAAGGGGAGCTCCGGGATATCATTCAGTATCGCAATGCCTACTTGCTTGCGTTCTCAGCGACCACGGGATACGTCTGCTTCGGTTGGGAAATTGGTCTTATAGGTGGGGTGATCACATTGCCATCATTTCAAGAATATTTCGGTCTGCTATCGGAATCAGCCTCTGCACGCGCCAGCTTGAGCGCTAATATAGTTTCGGTCCTGCAAGCGGGCGGATTGTGAGTGCAGTGCAGTTGCTCACCTCAATTAGACTCATATATTTAGCTTTGGAGCATTATTTTCGAGCTACTTTGCAAGCCGATTTGGGAGAAAGCCTGCTTTAATAGCTTCGGGAGTCATCTACCTCATCGGAAGCATCATCCAGTCAACAGCTGGAATTGGAACGTCCTCGGCTGTTGGATTGAAAGTTTTGTATTTCTCCCGTTTCTTTGGCGGCATGGGAGTGGGTTTGATGTCAGCTTGGTGCCGGCATACGTATCCGAATGTGCCCCGAGAGCCATACGTGGTCGATGCACTGGTTGCAATCGAAGTTTCGGTGGGATTGGGAAATATGCTGGCTTGTGGGTGTCACTTCCAGACATATGGACAATTTACTGATTGATGGTGTATAGTTTGGGTCAACTACAGTGTTTCTCTTAATATCTCACCAGGACAAATGCAATGGCGATTGCCCTTTATCGTCCAGATATACCTGGGCGCTCTTGGTGGTTTTTATGCTTTTCCAACCCGAGTCTCCCCGTTGGCTTGTGGAACGCGGACATTACGATGAAGCAGCTGCAGCTCTCGCATATATTGCGAGGAAAGATCAGGACGATGTTTCTGTCGTGCTGACTCTTGGCGAGATTCGCGCTGATTTCATCGGGAAGCACAGACTACCGCTACTCACACAATTCCGCAAGATGGGAGAATCAAAAAATCATAT